TCAGCTGGATAGAACTCAGGGGGAAATGGCTGAGCAGCACCGAAGTGAGAACAAAGTGGCAAGGAGGAATAGGCGCGAGGCCCTCTTCTCATGGAACTTTTTTGAGCCCCCTTCTCAACTAAACGATTATGCTTTTAGACCTGTGTTCTTACGACTATCGATGGACATGTATGATGGCCTGCACATCCCCCCTCCCCCAGTACAGTTCGCAAACAGGAAGAAACCCCAGGCCCAGTGTAATTGCCAAGAGGGATCAGCGACGCTGCAGTCGAATATATCCTCAGTTGCGCGTAAATTTGATGACTGGCACGATTGATTTGTATGGCATGGACTACACTGTGGTGGTCGATGTGGGAGGAGAGGAACTGTGTAATACAACTTTTCGTTTTAGTGACGTAGACCCTAAAGGCCACGGCCATTGTACGCCCATCCAGTGACGTGGCCTCCAGATCATGCCGGTAGTCTCTTGGTCCATCCTAAAGGTGGTGGAGATGGCCTCTATGTTCAAAATATACTTGCAAATCCGGACAAAGATCGATGGTCCGTAAAATGTTGTCCTTTTGATTTGGGGGAGCATAACTTCCCTCCAGCAACACAAATGAAAATCAGACTTACTAACACCCAGTTCATTGGCCGCGGCTGTGAAGTGTGATTTATTAAAGAAGATTATACCCTTATAATAACACCATCGCTGACCACTCATCCTGTATCCGCTTTCGCTTGCTAAATTGGTAAGAGGTTCTAATTGTGATCTGCAATATCAGTCGAAAACTCAGGACTCAACTGGAAAATAAGTCGCTTCTTAGAATCAGCAATCAAAATCACTCATTTAAAAGGTCTTGGATGCTAATAAATTCATTTTTAATTTCTATAAATGTCCTTAGTTAAATTTGGGTGATGTCCTTATTCGCCTGCGGGCGTTATGCTGTGTTTCACGCAGTGGAGAGGTATTCCGTTCCCCTTTCCTGTAGATCGAATTCCGGGGGAGAAGGGAAAGAAGCATCATAGCAGAAAAGCAGATGAAAAAATGTGCAACTTTTGTCCAAAAGCGATACAAAGTTGTGTACCGACTTGGCCAAGAGAATTGCCCTCTTAACCACTGGGCCGTGACTGAACAAACCCTCGTAACGATGAAAAAAAACTGCAAACACCGTAAAGGCAAATTTCCTGGTGCCAAATTTTCCGATCATTCCCTCCGTATAAACAGGAAGTCAAGCTGAATGTCGAGAGAGAGGTTTAGCTATGAAAACGGTTAGCACTTGTATCTACCCAACTTATCGATGTCTAGTTTTCCAAAGCTTCTATGAGAGAGCAAATTCGGACTAAAAAATTGAGCAACTCATCCTAACTACAGAGAAAAATGCACTTTGAAAAGTAACAAACATCTAACAAAAAGATGCGCATGCTGCCTTGCACTCTCGCCAATGACCAAAAACAAGAATTTACCTGAAAAACTGAAGAAATTTTGCAAGAGAAGCAGGAAAAGGAAGGGGGGAACTGGAAGTGAAATTTATAACACCAGTGTGTGTGCGTGTGTCCTCACACGCTAAAAAAGGCTGACAAAGAGAAAGGTAATAATAAAACCTTTGCCTTCGCCGCCTCTGCATCAGTGTGTCATTCGCTTGTCAGTGGAGTCTGTCTTCACTAGTTCGGTACTGCCACGCTTCATCATCCTTCGTGGGGGGCGTCTGACCTTGGAGGCGACGGCGGTGGGGGGAGAGGATCTTATGGAGCCTAGTGACTCTTCCGACATCGATGTCGTGGCGGTATTCGTGGTATTGCTAGTGGATGAGGAGAAGGCAGAAGAATCTGAGGCACTACTAGCGCTCTTGGAGACCGAAGCGCTACTACCATTCTTCATTCGCTCTAGTAGAGTGGTCTCGCTCTCGGATATTGCTCTGGAAGGGAGAATCGGCCGTTTGGAGGAACAGAGGGTAGAACCGTCCACCAGTTGCTGCGGGCGTCCTATCACACCATTAGAGTTGGCAAAAGATTCAAGGAAGGGGCGGCGGGAAACCTCGCCGCAACGTTTTATGCCGCGGTTGGTGATGTAGGAGTGGCATTCGTAGGAGGTTAGGCGGTTATAATCATATTTGCGTGGAGGCAGACCGCCCAGTGAAGGCCCTGTGTTGGAGTGACATTGCCAGAAACCGCTGAGGACGTCTTGATTCACTGGGTTTGGCTGCTGCATTGCGACCATTTTGGCCTGCAATGAGAAGAGGAGAGGACTCTTACATGACTCATTTCTTTATTTTTACTATCCACTACCTGAGACAAATGAATTCACGTTTCCTCCTTTGTCTCCTACTATGAATGTTTGTTAATCTAACAATAAACAGAGATGGTTTGTCGAAAGAGAGTAAGTGAACTCTGTGCGATTGAACATGAAAGCTTGTTTTTAGTAGCTCCATATTGCATATGGCTACCGATCTAAATGAGTGAGGTTAGAGAGTCTTACATGCCAACTACATCTCTTAAGTAGTCAGCACGAAACATGACGTCCGACTCTGAGTGAACTCACTAAATTTTAGCATACAAAAGTAGGTAACAGATTTTGCCCAACTGTGATGCAAATAAGCAATTAGAACTAGCCTTGTTAGTACGGACACAGAGAATCTTATTGCCTCCAGAGATATCTCACCTTTTGCTGCTGAACTTCGTAAATCCAACCCTTGAGGTCCTTCCCATCACTCGAAAATAGGTAGGCGTCCACGACCAAACCGAGATCGTTAGTTACGATTCCAGCAAACGAGTTCGGATCTGAGAAGGTCAAACAAGGGACAAGGATTTCATTCATTAAAGTCCTAGTACATTTGGCTGCAGTAAATTTAAAATGACTTGCGACAAAACATAAAGGATTAATTGAGCTCACTCGCTCGTTCCATTTTACCATTCGCTTTTTCTCAGCAACGTTCAACAAAATTACGTTACCCTTACCATCCCATTTATTTTGGATTGTCAGGTTGTTAAGAAGGATGGGAGGTCGGTGGACGTAGATGCGTCTCCTTACGACAGAGTGCTTGCAAATGAGGATCATGTCGGAGAGTAGCATGCAGAGAGCATTGGAGATCTGTGGTACCAAAAAAAATACTTGACCATCCACCTCCGATACACACGCTTTACGGGGTGGATGGAATATTCCAGTCACCTATGCAAACCTTTGCTAACCCTGAATGCATTTACTAAAAGCAGTATTTTGATGAAAGCCCTGGACTACATTGATTTCTTAAAACACATTTTTCGATGTTACTTTAGCAGAGGAAAGTAGTTCAATATGTTATCAGCTGTAGTTCTGAAAGAATTTTTAACAAACACTGCACAAAGTGATGAGACGGGGGTTGAAATAGGCCTCCAGAGCAATTCTCAAAGTTTAAAATAATGGAAAAAAAAGCGAATGTAAGACATACAGATTAAAATTTTTATCTGAAATATTCACTGAGCTACTTATCAAAGTTTCGATATAAAAAATGTTCAATTAATAATTTGACACTTGCAATTCAGTTGCCTCTGGACTTCTTCGCTGTTGAAGTGATACTGGTTCGCCATTGCGATAAAGCGGTTTCGTATTTTACTCGTGTTCTCATATAATACTTTAGTGGTTTGTTTGACTCTCGGTTTCGACAATAGGGTAACTTGGAACCGCCGCTTTTATACCTCCACCAGGCGGTCTGACCTCCGGGCCATTTCAGTAGCCCCCAAACCCTTCAATACGTCTATAATGCATATTCTGCCCTAGCATTATGTTTTCTCTCGTCTTCAGGGAAGTCTCAAGGCGCTACACTAGTGACATCGAAATGCGGACTTAATCCTAAAGGACAACTATTCCCAATTCTACTAATAAGTGATAAACCTTCACGGGGCAGAAGTGCATATGCTGTGGATGGGATAATACTACGATCCCTAGAAGAAGGTCTGAAAATGACGTTGACCTTCGGCAACCACTCCGGACTCGTGGTCTACAGGAATGCCATTTACAACTGAATCTACACTAGCTAAGAAACATTTGGAAAAGTTCGTTACGGAACTTGTCTACTGTACCTGTGTGGAACTATCAATTAAGTGAACACGCGATGCCTCCCACCTATCTACTAGCTGGATAGAACCCAGATGGGTAAGGGTTGGGAAGCATTGAAGAGAGAACAAAGTAGTACGGTGGAATAGATGCGAGACCTTATCCAAACGGAACTATGTTGAACACCGCCCTTTATTATATGACTTTCCTTTTATGTCAGTGTTCCTACCACTAGCGATGGGTATGCGTGATGGCCACCACATCCCCCCTTCCTCCAATATAGTTCTTAAACAGGCCGAAACTCCAGATCCAGTAGAATTAGTAAGAGGGATCAGTGAGATAGTCAGATATCCTGTCGGTTTCGCGCAAATTCGGTGACTGGCACCGCTGGCTTGTGAGTGGTTTGTCGCGGCACTGATTATGTTATGACGGCTGACGCAGGAGATTGATCAAGAAAGGCGCCGGCAACGACACTTAAAAGGGGAGGGGGCTGTGTGATGCTTTAATCGGTTCCGGTAACAGGCCGCTTAGAGCCTCTGCTGTTGTACCTTTATCGGACGGCCTGGCATCTGGCTATGCCAGTAGCCTCCTTCCCTTCTGTACGTCGATAATACATATTCTGCCCGAGTGTTGTGTCTTCTTTCGTTTTCAGGGCTGTCGAAGGGCGCTAAACTTACATTAACTACCAAAAACCTACCACCTTCACGTTTATCAAAAACGTAGTAAAAATAAGTTTTATGATGACAAAAAAAATAAGTTACGGATCAATGGCCGATAAAATGCCGTACCAGTGATCATCATATCCCGTCCTTAAGCCTCTCGAAACATCTTGGGACTTCACTAGCGATCTTATGATGTAATCCGTTGAACATTTAATTCTTCATTCCTCGAAAATATTCCTATCAGGTTTCATATTTGAAATAAATTGATTGAAACAATTTATTTCAATAAAAGTAGAGAAAAGAGTAGTATCCGAAACCACTCAATTTTTGAGTCCAATTTACTGGCCGATGACCCTCCCTTTGACGGGTGTCTAAGTTAATTATACGTTCTCGTGATGCAAAGGTATTCATCACTTATTCTCGGTAGCAAAGCTTCTGCTTACTTTTCCTCCTGTATACTTGACCTTGGCCTGGACTTCGGCGATTGGTTTTCGTGTGCGCAACCGTCCGTTAATCCTCATTGGCTGACGCAGAATGGACCTAATATCCGCCGATCCCGCGGGTAACTCCATATTGAGTTCAGATCGGATAGAATCGGTGGTGGTGTATTTGTGGATTCGCTGGATGAATTCGTTAAGTTTTGTCCTAGATTCCTCCTTGGGCTGATTGACATCAACCTCCTTCACAAAATCTTCCACTGCTTCTAGCTGAGTGTAGTAGATATTCATTTCGTAATTCACTTTATTTTATTCCTCAAAGGACTAAATTCCACAACGCTTACCATTTCCGTCAGGTCTGAGGTTTCATATTCATCAGTGGTAGTTTCCTTAATTCGTCGAATGAGAATGCCATATCGGGTTAGCCTCTGGAAGGGTTGTGCCAGCAAACCGCTCAAGCTTTCTCTGGAGTTCAGGGGATTGTTGGATCTTGTCCACTAACAAACCGGGTGAAATAGCTAGTAGTGATGGAGTTTTTAGTTAACTGAGGATGTCTGCCAGTTTTGTAATCACGGATTAACTGAGGACGTTGTTTTGATTATGGAATTCACACTGAATTAATGCATGTCAACTTAATCATTCCATAAAACACTTTGTAACGAAGTTTTCACACAGATTTGAAAAATTAAATGTGCATCGGATTTGACCTTTTCTAAAAAAACACTCAACACACCCTGTGGTAGATGGAAAAGAACTTGTTGTTTTCATCCAAGTATTTGATATTGGAAATGAGGGTACCGTAGGTCTCCAGAAAATTGATGTAGGGATGGAAGTAGCTTGCAAACTGAAAATAAAACACTGAAAATTACTACAGTTTGAAAAAGTCTAGGGAACAAAACAGAATCTCCAAAAAATGTATCCGCGTAGAAATTACGTTTCACATTCTACCATTTGCTGGCTAAATGTCATCGCTGTGGATGGCTGATAATGCAAACGCGCCCAACAAGAGGCTCATTATAATCCCATTCAACATCGCTCCTTAAAAGTACTTCATATTATGTGTTTTGCTAAATAATTTACTTTTGAATATACTCACCATAGAACATTACCCATCCTTAATGAAAAAAGGAGCATGATATTCTGCAGCCGAAACCAAAGTTAAAATAAGAAGCTTTCTCTCACAGATGGAGTATCAGCTAGCTACCACCTCTTTCGTCTAGCGACCAAAGTAGTAGAATAACCAAGTAGTGTCAGGTGCTACGCAATGGAGCGTTATTTCATCTTCTGCCAGTTTGTTTTTTGCTCTCTACGCGGCCATAACGCTACTGGGATAGAGCTAAGGTAGTCTCATCTAAACTACTCTCTCGACCCTTCCGTGCCCTAATAATAAAGATGCTTCGGCGGGGATGAGTAGGGCACTAGAGTTCTACCATAGTGCTTTGCGATTCCATTTGTTTATTAATAGTGGGGAACGAGAGGATGCAAAGGGTCATACTAACCTGAGAGAAGGCCTTTGCCATGCTTCGAATGCAAAATTTCACATCAATCGCGCTTTCATTGGTGATCCCCGGCTCGAAGCAGTCGGTCCAAAACTGATGATTCACCTTATATATAGTGCCGATATTTCCAAAGACGTCTTCAAACGGGGGGGCTGTGAAACCAGGAAAATCATACAGGGAAAGGGTGCTGAGGTTGCTGAGGGAGGAGGTGCAAGAGGTGAGGTCATGGCTCCCACGACCGCGAAACCGTCGATGCATATGAGATCCAGCGGTGCTGGCAGTGGGAGTGCTGGGACCCAGCTCAGTGGGAACAATGGGATCCATGGAGGGTACCATACTTAATCGATTGAGGGAACCACTGCGGGAGGCGTAATCATGAGACCCGGTGGTGGATTTTGTCAGGTCAAGGTAAACGGCGATGTGAACCTATTGCAGCAAATAGAACAGTTGATTGATGAATACTCTCAAAATTCAATGCAATTTAGGAATATCTTCATTATTTAATCTATACGTGCTCATATTGAAGTCAGTAGCAATATAAAGTTGAGCAAAAAAGCAGTTCATATATTTAGCTCCAAATGAATTTCGGGTCATCGGTAAACACTTTTGCTTGACGAACTGTTGGAAATAGCAATTTAGGTTCAGTGGATGAAGTGGTGGAGTGGGGCTGCACCTGCTTTAGTTGTGTACTTGACTACGTAGGACTTTTGAGTTGCACGTGATTTGGTCCACACACCGTCGGGTTGGCGCCTGATCGTTCATTTTGCCTTACCAATTATCTTTACACTCCTTCCAGGATGGCGTTACGGAGTCAGTGGGAAGTAGCTCAGGAATAGCCATAGTCCATTCCAAACATGGTACTAATTGGCATTCATCAATAAGAAATCGGTCAATGATGAGCTATCCGGGTCTTCACAACCAATTGACCGATATAATTTGAGAATTCCTAAGTTCACAAACGTTTTGTTAGGTTGGATTTATGTGTTTCAACCGACAAATGACAGAAAATCCTAAGATTTTAACTCTTAGTGAAATCAGGTGACTGCCTTGTAGGAATCTGGCGCTAAGGGACCAAGAATAACTAGTGAAGTGACTATCTGACCTCCTGCGTATTTTGAATGTGATGTTAGAGCGGGGGCTAGATGAACCCCTTTTTAGCTAGAATTTGTGTCAATGGGTGAAAATCAGTGCTATCGTTTTGTGAATAAGTAAAGTAGCTCTCTGCCTCATTGTTAGCGTTCACTTGGGATGTTGTGTTGGATGACAAAAGCCGGAACGGTATCTTGCGTGTGACAATATTGAAGGTGTTTCGAGCAAGAACACACGCACACCCATAAAAGGGTGGTCGATAGTGGGAAGGTAGTGCACAAGTAGTTGCGCACTAGCAATGGCAACCGAACCGAAGTAAGGCACTTCTTTGCGTGACGTTGGATTCGTGCCACCTACCCCAACGAGGGAAAGCAATGCGCCAAACATGAGAGGTTGTACAGTGGTGACAGAAAGTTTAATGTATTTAGTGGTTGCTAAAGTTACCGAGATCGTGATATGTCACCGTTAACTCTTGTAACGAGCATAGCCTCGTGAGCTCTGCGTCATGTTTGGAGTTCGAAAAAACCTTAAAGAGAACTGTAGGAAATGGTAAACGGTATGTTAGACTCGGATAGCTGGTGCCTCTCTAGGTTGGGCAAACATGTTAAGGCCCATGCAGGTGACCGCAGCTCTTCAAATAATTCGTCATTTAAGCCGACTTTTCTTGGAGAAGAGATCGGTCTACGAATCGGATTTGCTGTAAAACATCGTCGAATGAAATCCAACGATACAGTTCGCCAGAGGTAGACCCACTGAAATCTAAGATGTGCATAATTATCATGGAATTTAGAGAACCTCTAATGTAATGGCCATTCCTTCCATGATATTCTTCTTCATTTCAATGTGGATTTCACTTCACTTGAATACTATCGGAGTACGTAATGCCGGCAAGTAATTGCTTTAGGTGGTGAGTACATAGCTTTAAACACACTGGAGGCTATGACATTGATTAGCTTTTGTTTCAACTATGACGCAATATTGTTGCTTTAATGTTACAGCTGGTAAGGTCACCACCTCGGTGTCATGATAGCTGTGTTTGTGCCTATGCCATCCTGGGTCAGTAACAAACCATCTTTTAGAGCGACACGTCTCAATGCACCATCTCATTGCATCATCTACTACTTTTCCTGCAGAGTTTTTTAAAAAAAGGGGTCTTCCCTCTCCTCAGCCCTCTCCTGCAACCGAAGAAATAAGACCCAAGGAAAGTTCGGCCCACTGAACGATTACAAAAAGTAGGCAACTTAGTTTCCAAGAGAAAAAGGAGACGAAAAATTCAGTCAATTACCAACATATTTGTAGTGATAAGTTAAGATTCATGCTTCTGGAATGGTTTTAACAACCCTAACCACCTTGGGAAATCAAGAACTTTGCTCGAATGATCACATGATCGGACTGCAAAACTAGCCTGTAACTAACAATGTTATCGCTCAAAGGTGTATCTGCCTAGACTTCAGTTATACCGTCCAAAAGCGGGACTTATTATTGTTAAAATGATACGTAAACAATTAGGCAGTTGAAATTCGGTTGTTACAATTGTGAGAAACAAATTCCAAACAGTGGTAACACACATTCGCAATGTGAAAGGAAAACACAAACAGTCGGGGATATCGGCCTAAGGAGGTGCGTCTTAATGTCGCTTAGTCAGGATGCCATGCTGTGGTCTGATGTCGCCTTGCAGCCTCACCAAAGTAAGATGTAGGCATTTGATTCCCTGCTTGTGATTCACAAATGTACAAATCTGCGTGTGTATGTGTGTGCCGTGCTCTGATTAGGCCGTTTAGCCACACTCCACTTTCACACTCAAACACTCCGTCTCGCATTAACCTAAGCAGCATGTTTGAGAGCCATGCAAACCCAGGCCAGAGGTTTGCATTTTTCATGTGATTCCAAAGCTCCTCTCTCTCTCATCCATTGCATTGTGTGCCATATCGGCAGCCTCGTGAGAGTTAGGCAATTAAACAAGAGTCGGTTTTCTTCCACATTTACTAAATTTCTAAATCACTTTTTCTCTAATAAGAGGTACCTTTGGTCCCCTAAGTGGGAGCCAGCTTAGAAAAGGCTTTGGCGAATAAAAAACGGGTGGTTTAGGCACCTACGAGGAGGGTTTAAATAAAGCACTAAAACGAGCATTTAGAGGGAGTTCTTGAGGCAGACTGAGACTCACATCTATCAGCATCTCTAGGGTTTTTATGTAACAGGCTTCGGTATAGAGGAGCTCCATTACGGCGGATAGCTGCAAGTCCTTGGCTTTCTTACTCAAATCCTATAAAATAACAGAAAAATGTCAAATAAGAACCACAATAATATTCAAAATTAGATTGTAACTTAGGGCAGTTACGTTAGGATTTACAACAGTGTCCTGATTTTCTTCCACCGTAAGCTGGTTCCACATTTTCTCAATGACCGAGAAATCATGACGTTGCAGGTTCTGTGGAAAAACTGCCAGCAGATTTTGTGGAATTTTTGGTAGATTCCCTTTTTCAAAGTCTTTCAAGCGATTCTGTAGTCTATCCGTTTGCACCTAAAACACAACAGAGGAGAGGTTCGCCCTCGAAATAAGAATAGACAGAAGGTAAATTGAAGGAGGGATAATTAAGGGGATGTTCTAATGAAAGGATGGTTGACTGAACAAAATAATAATGATGATGTTAGGATGACATGACAGTGGATGCGACCTACCATCAACGAGCCTATCTGATCATAGGAGCGCTCACGTCGACGTATATACGTCGGAGGTCTCTGCCACAAATTATTTCGACTATGTGATTATTCGTACGACACGGGGGTGAAAAAATGAATATTTACGAGTGTCGGCATTTCTTTTAAGCTTACTGTAGCCTGAGGATTGCACGCCGCGTTGATATCAGGAGTAGAGCGAGCGAGCATCTGTCCCGTTTGCCATCGAATAGAGGCTAAAATTGAAATATTACGAGGTAGGTAAAACCACAAAAATCAAGCAATGGCAAACATTCAAGGGACGGATTTTTATGCTCCTCTCATACTTGATTCTCGTCTTTGTGAATCAGATGGGAGGCAAGCATTTGGATAAATTCTCACATGTGTCAGCACAGTGTTAGGTTCCATAAAGAATTGAACTCCAATAGACCTAAGCTTGTCCGTCTTTCGTTGTAGGAACTTCCAGTGAATAGGACAATTTCTTGTGAAATGGGCACAATTTCATGCACTTGATCTGGGTGGGGTTTAAACTAAGATTTGTTGCTTTTTATTTCTACAGGAAGGTTTGGTGGATGGACAGACAGACGGATGGATAGACAGGCAGATCGACAGATAAGCCCATCTAGGAATGGACGGAGGGATGGGCGGATGACCGGATGGTTCTATCTGCTTATAAAACAGATGCTGCACTCCGTGTCAAAATGGTGTTATTGCTATTGCTAAATTTGACTCAAAGTAAGCAATTTTCCTTGATAATAGTGGAATTCATACATGGTGTGTCGAATACGGCATATTCTTCAAAAGCACCTTCGAAGTAAGTTTTCTGGCACACACCAACATCGTCATTGACTAAGGCTTGACTTTTTTCCACCCACCTCTGCGTCGAAAGATTTCCCTTAAGCCCACTTCTCTCTTAAACAAATTCGCCCTAAATTTTAACAAGTTAATCACGTTGCATCCAGCTTACAACTGATTAAGCCAGCAGGCATGCATTATTGATGAAACACACTTTAGATGGAATTCTTGGAAGAAATATAATGGTAAAAGAAGTCGAACTATTCAAACTTGCAATTGAAGTGCTTTTAAATTTCTAACTGGGCTGGTGGTGAGCCGGTCGCAAAATTATCTCCAAAAGATGGCATTATTGAAGGCGTATGAAAGGGACGCAAGCTGAGTCACGTCTAATTTGTGCGTCTTGGAGTGAAATAGGATTTTAAAGTGGCAATCTGAATCCCCCTGCAAAAATCAATAAAATTAAATGCAACTCCATGAAGATCTCGGACTAGACAACAATGAAGTTTTGTCAGCATTTCTGATTTAAATTGTGCTTATTGAAGCCTAAACAAAATTTGATAAAGCGTTGAAGATTGGTGCAAAATTTAACGAAAAGTGGTACAACCGTAAAATGAACAACACGAAAGTTTCCTTAAATCCCAATTTCACAGCCCCTAAATCTACCATAAAGTTACCTCCAAATGCTGGAACATTTACCGTATTTTGGAGAACTCATGAAAAATGTGATGAAACTTCATATCAGCAATCATCATATAAAGTTAGTTATTCCATTTTATTGCCATTTCTGACAGAAATGATGGTAAGTTAACCACTGACTTCTCTCAAATGTAAACAGATCCGAGCCTAAATTGATAGGATTTTCTTTCGCAAATTAAAAAAAAACCTTACCGCAATTGCGTCTAGGTTGTCTAGGCGTAAAGTCAAACATTTAGGAAGTAGAAATTTGCCTTTGTACTTTTACTTACCCTTAGAAGGGAAAACCTGTTCAGGATATGCGCCATTGTAAATGGACCTCCTCTCAGGGGTGATCAGTTCAGAGCCTTTCGAACGATATCGAATACATGACGAGTGAAATCCTGTGGGAGAGTGGGGAGGTTCAGAGGAGCTAGGGCAAGCGTTAGCACCTCCAGGCGCCATTTTCGTCTCTGAGTCGTAATCCCTTGACATCTGCGGAGGAATCGCCTTTCTGCTCGCTAGTATTGTCTTACCAAAACTGTTAAAAATGAAATAGACACTTGTCGTTGTGGTTTTAGCCAATCATTTTGCTAAATAAATCACCATTTGTCAAAGACCCGATTTTCAATAAATCCAAAATTCTTCAAAAGAACTTGAAAATGGCTTTCAGTTACCCCTACCCTATCGGCTACTATGCGGGAATGGTCAAAGGAGAAGGAGTCACTCCCACCCACAATCACGTGTAAATGGATTACTCAAGTTTTTAATGCCCATAAAGGGAAAGGTGATACTCTACTGGACGCATTTCTTTGCATAAAAATCATTCTATATCCTTATACAAAAAATACTAAAAGTGGGTAAAAAAGGAAGTAAGTCTATAGCAGAAAAAGGAACCGAGGGGGAAACTTCATCTCAAATCTTGAAACTCACAAACAGGAAACAAAATCCTAGCCACTGACTCGCCCATGTGTTGCTATGACTGCTCTTCAAGCGAGCCCAATTTCCGTACCGAGTAAGGTGGTGTGAGTACAACTTACGGTGTGCGTGTGCGTGTGTGAGCGCCAATGCGAATGCGTGTAGGTGCGTGCGTGCATGCGTGCACTAGCCGATTAGATTCTGAGAGGAGCATCAGACCTCACTCCTATACCGCTGCATAAGGCAATCGCGCACTGCTGTGGAGGCAGAAACAGATCACTGGGCCTACTGAGGAGGCCACGACTTCAGGGCTCTACACTACAAAACTTTCTCAAGATGTTTTTGCTTTCAAATAAGGCACCGTACGATGGTTTTAAAAAAACGAAACATTAAGCTGGTGAAGATTGACACTGATTCTTAATTATACACCCGTAGAAGGACCAGTGCTCTCTTCCTTGCTGTAGGTGAAAATATTACAGCGTGAAAGGGTTTCGAATTATTAAGGATTTCTTAAAGATATTGATGGCTATTAATGAGTGAAACCTTTTAATATGAAAAGTGACATGGGAAACGTTAAGTGGTGGAATTTTCGAATGCTAAATGAACTTTAATTCATGCAACTCCACTTTGCGTCGGTGGTGCACATTGCGTTAGAGGGCACACCAAACTATTGGTAACATAGTGGTTGTTGTTAATTTACTTAGCTGAAGCCCATCAGCACGCATCTCCTTATCCGAATAGTTATGGTAAACCTCTAGGTAAAACGTTTGTTTTCTGTTTTCAGAGCCATTGCCTTCTCAATGCTAAAGGCTTATTACAATGAGTCACACTCCCACAGTCTTGCCTTAAAGTAGTTTCTCGCAGACCCTTTTGATGTCAAGGTCAAATGTAACAGAGCATTAAGCGCATTGAGTCAAGTCAGACAAATATTTACGTCTGCTTACAATGGCAACAGTACTCTTATGGAATTTTTAAACACACATTGTTGATATTTTGGTTAATGCCTTCTTGACATTAAGGGAAAAGTTCGTCGGCACCGATCTACTGCATTCCCATTGAAAAACTGCAATACATTCTAAATCGTGTAAATGTATCCGAGCAGCTTTGCAACACCGACGATTTTTTAAATCCGACTTTGCTACTTAGCTCTAATTTGGTAAAGTGCCCACGAAACGAGGGCACGAACCATGCTAAAGCTACTAGCTCACTTATTGCTAAAAGATGTCACAACTCTGTTCGATGTATTAAAGAAAGTAAGCGTGAGGTTCGCCTGAAATCGCACTCCGCAATACAAACTCAGGTGCAAATTGTGGTGGATACGATAATTGGTCGATTACGCCACCGCTTGCAGCCCTAAAGCCGCTAGGCAATTCTCAAGGTCGCGACAGAGGGCACTTTAGTCAGTTAAAAACATGCCAACAAGGAGGTGGAGGGGAGGGGGGGAGTGAAGAAGCGAAGTGAAACAGTGGTTATCGTCCACTTATAAAATTTTTTTTCGTGCAATTGTGCACCAAAGTTCAATAGACGCGGCAAGTGAGCATTTGTTTAAAAGTTTTGAATGGAATTTAAGGCGTTAATTGGCCAATTGCGACACATGAAAACTTTACAACACCTCCAACGGAGGTAAAGACACATTGCCACAAGATTAACTGTTATTTCAAGAGTGCTGAAAATGTACAATGTTAAATAGTCCAGTTTGTACTCGATAGGGTTCAGCAGAGCTAATTTATTGAAGAAGTGTCCTTCAGTCAAATATGCACCGTACATAGTTCCTTCTTGTCAATCTAACTTCAGTAGCCCTTCACTGTAGTTGCCAAAGTGCTTTAAAAGCTAAGCACCTACAGAAGGCTAAATGCTCATGTAAGGCTACATTATAAAGATTCGGGCGAGCGTACGATCTATTTCTAACTTCGCGGGATCTAATAGGTCAGTGGGTTACTACGACTAATTCCAGATTAGCCTCTAATTTAGTAAAAGCCATTCAGTCAGTTCGCTTAAAAACAATGCTGATGAATTTGGAAGCGGAAAAGTGACTTGATACAAGTACCATCTTGAGCCTGCTTCATTGATAGGATCTCGAAGTGAAACCACAACTTCTTTGTTTTTAAAAGTCCTGCTGTAATTGGTTGGTTGTTTCCTTAACTTTCAGTTTTAGTAATGGACCACTTACGAGCTCCACGGCTGCGCCCCTGCTGGGCGGCCTGGCCTATAAGACATGCCAGTAGCCTCAAAACCCTACTGTATGCCGGCGTTGCATACTATGTCCGAGTAACATGTCTTCTTTCGTCTTCAGGGAAATCTCGAGGCACCTATGGAATACGTTTAGCTCAAAGGGATGAATTAGTTTGGGAAGGAAAGACACGAAATCAAGGTGATTGATGTTGCGTCAGAGCGGCAGTAAAACGTCTAAAGCTAAGATGATCAAGTCGTCTCTGGGGCGTTTAACTGTCGCACTTTTTCTTCATGTTCAAATTCAGTACATTCGGCCTAAATGCAACATATCTACCTAAGGTTGGGTCAGAAATCCTCACAGAGGTTCCATTCTCGGTTTCTCTCAACAATTTTTAACACAGCGCGAATGAGCATACATCCATCAAAGAATGGCCATAGTTTCAACCATAAAGTAAGATCAAATAAAATTTCGATTCAGCATAGACTGCAGGACATGTTCTCACAGTATCTCGGTGTGTGATCATTTAGACTTGGTGAGAAATCAGAAATCTAATGATCAAATTATGTAGGACCATTTCTGCATTGCATCCCTTTTACCAATAAACTTTCAAACCTGTGGAATTGTCAAACGCACCGAAGTTTTGTTAGGTAATGGAATTTTACAGCGGTGCAGTCAAAGAAGGCAAAAACCCAAAACAATTATGCTAAGAGCTGGTAGTGCACCCTACCTCAGTCTGCATTTAAAAAAACACTTTCAAAAGTTTGACAGGCGTAGCCATTTAACAGCTCCCACGATTAGAGATCAGGAGATTGTGCAAAATATATTTTTCTTTAATGACCCACTTAAAAGGATTGGTTTTCTCCAACATCCTAACCTTGTACTCATTTAACTTATATTTCAAGAACTGGGCCTACGGAGAGAGAGAGCAGAATTTCAATCTAAAGCGAAAGATTCGACTAACTTTCTGCGCTTAATTGTCGGAATAAGATCATTCCCATTCACTTAAAAGGGAAAAAATCGTAGCTCCTCGAGACTTCTTTAAAGGCGAAAGAAGACATCATATCCAGGTAGAATATGTATTGCTGACCTACAGTAGGTGTTTGGGGGCTACTGGTGCAGCCCAGAGGACGGGTTGCCCCGCGGAGGTACAATGGCAGAGCTCCAGGTGACCCGGTACCAAAACCGAGAAGTAAACAAAAAGTTAACTTATTACAGAAATAGAAACAGTGAAACAGGTAAACAATATAATTATCTCATTAATTGACACTTCGTTCTAACGAATTTATGACCCTACAATTTGCTAAATCTCTTCAGTATTTAAACCCGTACTAGCCTAACAGATTCCAATGGCAAAAAATCGAATTATAGGTTGCCATGCGAACATGTGCAATGCTCACCCTACGTCAGAACGGCAGAAAAGAACAAAATTGAGCACCACTCTACGAAAAAAAATGCAGTATGGCTGGATGTATGCAAGACTGGTAACGAATTATGCAATAACACTAATCCATTAATGCTACCTAAGGGGGCGTGGTGCTATTCAATGAATAAAAGTTTTACAGCGTCTGTATAGTGCAAGTTATGCAAATTAAAGGGGCTTCTTTCCTAAAATGCATACAAACTCCCATCCCAGCTTCCAGGCTTTCTTCACGATAGGACTTCAATCCTCTGGAAATGTACAAGACATCTCGATTCACAATGATGAGCTAAACAAACCAGTAGCCATTTCAAAAGCCAATTTGGGTGCAATTTTTGTTGGATAACATGTTTGGACCATAATTAAACTAGCCAAACAATTAGTTTTACTTTACCTCTCTTCAGATTCCAATTTGCATTTAAAAATGATGGTTTGTCATTTAAAATTCACCCAATGGTCTGTTAAGCTGCAGAATGAAAACGGCATCAGTTTCTAGTATGGCTTCCGATACAAAAAAATATAAGCATGCGATATGTGGTTCTCGTAGGTTAATCAGTGTTCTTTCATTTTCTTAAGGATTACCTGAAACATTTTCCTTCAAAACCAAACACTTCAAGTGAGATTGTGCACTTTGCAGCCAACTTTGTTTTCTCCCAAAAAATCACATTTTTAGAATCACATGGAGAAATGGCTGTTTTAAATCACAAGGAGAGAGTAAACGCAAGATTTCGAGGCCACAACTTAGGTGCATTCACTCCATGTTTGGCTTTTATCGATTTATCGATTCATCTATCGACAGGTTTCAGCAGTCGGTTGATTAGGTGCGTATTAGAGTGGTTCGAAGGAGGGTTCTTAAATGAGAAGTTATTTTGCCTTGAAATCACTTTACACCTTAAAAACCAAAAACGTATAATTTGAAGAATAACACAAAGGCAGAGCAGAAAATGAGGACTACTTTGAAGGAAAAAAACTCACTCTAAACGAGAAGGGCGAGCCGACGACCTGATGACGGGTCCTGCGGAGCTGTCTCTCGATATCGTCATCTTTAAAAGAAAGAAATAGAATTTTATTGTAGGTATACATCATGGGAAAAACGTATATACTTGATCTTAGAAATCACCTTCCACTATAATCATTTCATCCCACTTATTTGGGGTGCACTTGTACACATTAAAGTTGGTTAAATCAGTTAAATTTACCTTGGTTTTAATAAACTATCGAAATAGATAAAAATAGAGCCCAGAAAGGTATCATTACTTCTGGATTTCAACAGGTTTAGTCGACTACATCACTAATGCCATGTTAACTACGAATTAATAACTTAAAACAGTCTGGGACATCCAGGAATAGAGTCAAAAATAGCCTTAAGAAAATGCCAACTACGACCGCTTCGAGAGTACTCTGGAGATGACCAGGCTGTGTGAGCTTGGTTCTACTGTTTGCTATTCTGCGGTTGTCGCTTTATTCCCATGCCCGTTTTCGAAAGGTTTAGTAACTCAAATTAGTTTTTAAAACCTTTTTTATTTTACCCGTAGCTCACAACCAAATCTTGATGTTCGTAAATCCACTTACAACTTCAAAATAAAGAGCAATAAAAGATAAGATTGCCTTAAAAAGTAAAATTCCTGTAAGCATATTGTGTTTAAAATGGTCACTTTAACCTCAAGCTCAAGGTTGTCCCTAACTCCTACCTTTTGCGTATAATTATGGTTCATGGAAATGAGCAGCTGTTTTTGGAACCATCCCATTGAAAATATGTAATTCAAACAGCACTTAAAATGCAAACCAGAAGCCTCTGTGTCATTATCTATTTAGTGTACTGATTGAAAGTAATTGTTGACGTTGCAGGACCACAGCCATGACTCTAAATACTAGTGGAGTTTGAAATAGGCTTCCTTCCGGTATTTATCTGGTGAGTAATTTAACTACTTACTTTTCTATTTGCCCCTGTTAAATGCGTTTTTCTTTCGAATACATTCTCTAAACATCCATCTACCTGCGCCTAGTGCATTCATCCATCTGCCCAACCAATTCTAGCGACGGGTACCAATTTATGGATTCATTACTCTCGATAGTCCTTTGTATTTAAGTACTGCCTGGGCTTATTTAGACCGTTATTGGGGGACTGTGGCCACAATTTTCTTTAAAAAGTGGGGGGATTCGGAAACCCACTTTTATAATGCATAAAATCGTAACATTGCCATTTAAGCTTCAAGTTAACGAAACCTAAGTGTTTAAATAAGTATAGTCCAAAGTGCCTTGTTTTTAATTTTTAAATGCCATTGGTTTATTGGCCCTATGGGCAACTTACTACTGCTCAAAGTATTTTTTAACAATGCAAATTTAGGTACGATTCTTGTCTGTGAGTTTTGGTCACAAATTTTAAGCACCCTATTCTTCAGCCACTTCAAAATTTACAATTAAAGCTCATAAAATACTTTACTTCATACTACTTAAGTGATTTGAAATAAGATCTATCAAACCGTTTCTACTGCTTTTGGTTGTGATGATATCGCTCAAGAACTTTTAGGTTATTTGGTTTGGAGCTAGATGTAGGCGGTGACTACTTGTTCAAGCTAACAGATAAAGGCTCGTTGCCTACTTCGAATGCATATCTAATGATTGAGCACTCATTGCCCTCCAAATGGCAGTAGAGTAGTAAAATACTCAAGAAATTAGAGGAAGAAGTCTTACAGCCGAGGGGGAATTGCGACGGTCGGCTCCTGAATTGTGACGAAACGATGATGGCGATGGAAGCAACGATAAATCCTCCTGATCAAATGGCGAAGTTCTAAATAAATACACACAGGCAAATGAATAAAATTTGGGGTACTTTTGTTGAGATCTAGCAAATCAGTTAGCCCTTATTGGGAAGGCAATCTAGTTAATTTTTTTCCCTGAAAATCATTTTTTGCTTTGCATAGTTAATGTTTGTATCAATTGATGCACCTCTCAATGGTTGCCTGCATTACCACTGAGGAGTGTTCACGTAGCAAAGATATAGGTTGACATAAGTCAATCTCAATCTTGCCACTTCTAGTTGAAAAATTAATTGCCGACTCGCCTAGTAAATACCAGTTTTCTAATGCAAAACAGTGGCACTACGGCACTTTGTGATCACCAAGTCACATATCCATTTTTTTAAACATAACGATTTCAGTAAGGAAGTATAAATAACATGTTTTCCATCAGAAAAGTGTAACTTTGCAACATTAACTTGATTTAGGCAACTTCCAGCAAGATTTGCCAGCACCGAACTGAAATCCTTCGGCAGAACTGGCAATACAAAGCTAGAATATTCAAATTAAGAGGAGTCAAGTCCTGTGAAAACACATCTTGCAGGATAAACTGCTTCACACAACCATTTCATCTACAAGAAAGTCCTACCGGAATTTCCGAAATCGGGGCTCACTGTATCCAATACCCTTGAACAGAGCACCAAGGTGGGGTCGTCGTCTGCGTGAGTACGTCCACATAAACGCCACTACGATGAGAGAATGACCACTCGAGTTTTGCATAACCGCACAACTACGCAGCTCAGACAGAGGCCAAAACGCTAAAAACACACGCCATTCAAGCTATGCTAGACCGACCGCACCCATCGCTCACTGTGATCTTTTGAACTATATCGAAGGGGAATACTTGTAGGCGAATACAAACAAGAATAATGCACTTCCGGGACCGCAGACATCAACTTCTGACATTTCGCTGCATTAGTAACTAAGGGAGAAGCCTGACCTTCCCTTCTTGATTGCCACAGAAATCCAGGCAGTGTTGGTGGTAAATTTATAATAAGCTTGCAACTCCAGTGATCAACAAATGATTTGGAAAAGGTCAGCTATTTTCTTTGTCTTTTGATCCGAAAATTAGAAGTCCTGAAAGAGAGTCTCTTAATGAATGGGTTGTTTGTATCACGTAACCTTTAGCATGCGGTGCATCTTGTAGGGGGAGGATGGGAAAAAGACAATTCCCTTGTAACGCTCACACGATAAACAGTGCGGAACTACCCTTACCTCCTTACTATTTGTCAAAAATAATCCGCGAATTTGATCGGGCCATTAATCCTTTTGCCTACTAATAATTAATCTCAAAAATCGGATTCTGATCTCTTTCGTATTTCAATTTTTATAACAGAAGGTGGATGTTTATTGACTCACACTTCAGTCATCTCCTGCGAGGCCATTCTAGGTCGACTATCAGCGATTTCATAGAGGCGAGATCTGTGGCTAGAGCGGCTTGCTCTCCCGCTGTCATATCCGGGACCAGAAGGGATTCTCCCTAATCGGGCATGTTGAGGATGGTTGGAGTGGACATTGGTAGGGGTCTTGCCATCTTTGTCCTGAGGACTAGACGAGGATGATTGACTTAGGCAATGCCACTGGCGCTTGAGATTTGAAGCAACCAGCAAGTGTGGGGAGGCAGGTCTTGAATTGCCAAAGGGAGTTTGTGCAGGCATCGCAGTGCTGAATTTTGCCATTTTGTCTGACAATGCTCCTGTGTGCGTTTGTGGAAAGAACCTCGAATAGTTGTGAAAGGCAAGTAGTGAAGTGAAAAGCGAAGGCGGTGAGGAGACACTAAGTGAAGCTCCAAGGTTGTCACTTATTGGCGCAAATCGTTGTTATATGCACACACGCACGCGTGCACAAACCATACAGGAGAAGGAGGCCTTATTGCTGAAAGAGATGGAGCATTCACTCGCTTGTTGAACTCAACCACCCACGCAAATGTGGAGGCGGGGTTATAGAGGGGCACTCTGGCGCACTTTTGCCTCACTTTCTATCGCTTAGTGAGCGATCTACCCATTGACCTCCATAGCACAAAGGTATTTTAAATTCCAGTGAAAATCCTGACCTAGTTCTAAGATGTTCGATTAATCTGCCTAATACAGGAGACATGAAAGTACCTTTTTTCAAGCACTTTTAGGATACTGTTAATTATAAAAGAAACTCTACGTCGATCGCTGGTACTAGGTGGCGATAGATTCCCATCCATTGGGTGAAATTAAAGTAATAAACGGTCAGTTGTAGCATTCAACTTCAGTGCTTGTTCCAAAGATATTCTCTCAGATGACGGTACTACCATTGCCTAACCTAATGTCATTTCATGAGTTTTGACAAGGAATTCCATAGTTGTTAATCTCAGAAGACGAGGCGGGAAGTGTATACTGACTACAATTGATGATCACAGTGGCCTCGTAGTTACCCGTCAATTTGAAGGTGTTCTTGCCAAAGGAGAGTTTATGGCATCTTTAAATACACAAAGTTCATGTTATAGAAAAAGTGTGAAAGATCTCTTTCATTACAATAGTACAGGTTCGTAGTCAAGTTGTTGTTGGTCAGTTGGGGGGGGGGGGGGGAAGTTGGCTCAGCAAGCCTCCCTGTGTGTAGAGAAGCCTTAATTGTTGATTAAATGGACATCAACTGTACATCGACATACATTGAACAGTCGCACATGCCATGGTGAATGCAAATGCAGCGGTGGATTTGTGTTTAACACAGTGAATGCTGCATCTTATACTCGGATCGCGCAACACTCATAGGCTCCAACGCATTCACTCCCTCTCCCACTCTAGCTAAGGTTTGGGGTAAGTAGATACCGGGACGAGAGAGCGCAGCCTACTGCATTCACAGACTAGCGGGTGTATGTGACTCGAAGTGGGATCGGATAGAGACATTGTGGAATAATAATGAGGCGCTTTTTGGGTGGCATTATGAATTCGGCTACTCTTTGGAATCTCTTTGTTTCTGTCGGCTATATAATATGGCCAACCGGCTAGAATGCGACGAATGGCTAACATATAACCGGTGTCAGCAGTAATCAAAGGTACGTAAAGTGTCGAATGACTTTTAACACCAAACAGGATTGACACCCAATGGCAGACAGTAACCACTGATGATGGTGACAATGGAATATTGCTGTGCTTGTGGGAGGTTATGCATACCAAATCTTGAATGCATAGATATGGGTTTACATTTAATACTTTGTAGTTTCCTCAATTTAAAATCACATTAACTGATGAGTGGTTAAACTGCTGTGAAATTGGTCTTTAACGTAAAGCGGTGCAATGATTTTGCCTCACCTTTCTCATGAAATAGCATTACTCTTCGTGTCCGTCTCCTGGCCAATCATTAGGGAGGTCGAAATATTGGGGTCCTGGGGTCAGAGTAATTTCCTGACACTTTTTATATTGCGAAATCTAACTTAGCAGCCCTAAGAGGCATGTATGCAGAAAAGGGTGGGAGAAGCGTTTCAAGATTTGGGAGTATTTTACTAAAGGAAAACTTGAAATCTGAGTTTGATGCCTCGGATTTAGTTTCTTGGGCTCACATTCCATATTATGGAATGACTGGATAGCCACTACACACCTCGAGGTCGGTTTCATAACCTTAACTTGGATTTATTTTTCTGAGGGCTTTTTCGCTTCATAAATATCTTTTCCAGGTAAAACTTTGTGCATGGCATCTAAATGTCTTTAGGGTAATATTTGAGCCCGCTTTAAGGTTTAGGACAGGAAAAATGCTTATTTTTGAATACTATAGAAATTCACCACACTTGGTTTAAATTCACCCTTTAATAACATGAAAACACTACTATTGTAACCTTTCTAGTAAGGATTGCATTTTTATGATTCCGAATAGTAAAAAAACGAGTTAATCTTGTACATTTCTATTATGAAAGCAATCGCGGATCCCACAGGCATTTACCTGCTTGACTAAAAGGATGTTGAGCCAGTTTCAGTAAAGAGAAGTCTAGAATTGGAACGTTCAATCTGGGTTTACGCCAACGTGATTAAGGTGATTGGTAAGTGGTTATTATTCCATCTATATGCTAGAACTTTGCAGGAACTTCTCAACATCATCTGCACCAAGTTCAAATATTTTCTTAGAAATGAAGAGTGATTACGCAATGTGGGTGGCGAAAGCATTCCCTCCGAATTGAGAAAAGTGACAATGACAAAACGACATTTCTTCCTACCTCACCTCACGATCCGGTCCTTAGGGGTCTCGTGCAATTCGATCTTCACGCCTGCCGTGTAGAATTTTACCTATATCATCTGGGCTACTAATCTTCCGAAGTTTCCCCGTGTTAATGCTATTACTTACATCCAGACTCGCGTATGCCCCAACATCCTCGAAGGTAACTTAAATGGCCGCAAGCAACTACTTCAACAGGCTCATACCTGTTGATAACAGATTTTCAACAACTGTCTAAATCATGAAAAAAAAACTTATGAGTGTCTTCTAGTGGAGGGGTTGAGTTAAATACTGAGAAGTAATGTGGTAGTTGAGTGCTTTGGTAGATCCCACCTATTTCGGTTAGTAAACAATGTCGAGAGCCTGAAACAAACTGAATTGGGGTCAAACAATTCCACCATTAAGTAGACCCAAGGATGTTAGAGCCCCACATCCGCATACCGCCGCCTCTTTCGCGACCCACCACAGAGGCGTCGAGTCGGCGTTGATCAGCGCTTAAGTTCTTGACACAGAGTAAAGTACCTTTGTCAGTTTGTAGGCAGAGAATGGCATCGGCATGTTTCCACTTGAACAACTTGGCGCCATTTATCTCAAGGTGTATCAGTACCACTTGCCGTGACGAATTTAATCTACGCGCAGCGGATCCAAGAGACCACTTAAAGCTGCACATCAGATCGAAATCGAGCACTTTGATTGGTCATCCATATTTGGAACGAGTGTAGGGGCTTTCCTGCACCATCAACCGTCAGCACGTCAAGTTGATGTGGTTGCGGCCTCTACGAGTAGTCACGATGTAAGTGATCAAGGGGTAAACAGACAATTAGGGGGCCTTTAATTTGAGCGCCAAATTGTCACTAGACCTGGTGTACAAAGCTTCCCTTCAGGCATATGCCCTACTACTATTCAGCGTCATTTATAAAATTGACATTTAAGCACCAGCAATCTCTTAGAATGTGGAGTTTGTTTAGGGGCAACCAGTACCCCCGCATTAACACCCCAGTTTGAATTTCATCTTGTGCAAGGCAAGTTTTATGGGCTAGTAACGCCACTCATTGGCACAAAACAAACTTCCCCACTGTTTTAGCAGTCCTGCATTAAAAAAACTTTTCTTCTTTTATTGATAGCACAACTGTGTATTCCCATTCCAAATTCTCATCTTTTATCCGTCGATGTGAAAATCGGTTTTATGAGACCCACCAGCTAATTATTTGTGATTTATATTCCCTGGATTTTTAGATAACAATTGCATTTTGGGCTACATGAAGCTTTTGATTTTGATTACCATTAAAGGTAATAAAAACAGGAATCTCCACCGTTTTTTTAAGACAAGAATATCTACCTTAGAAGTTGTGTTTTACTTCTACCTTCAAGGAGGAACCGACGTGTTTTTGGACATGGTATTTACCAATGAAGTCCAGAGAAAAATTACATCAAATAGTAATCTTTTGGATGACATCGTGAACCAGGCTGCAGTTTGCATTCTGGCGACAATTTTTTAGAAAGGTTTCAAGTAGCCGACACACTTGTATGGCGTTTTGATACCGGTTCTCTCGCTCCCTAGACCCACTTATTTCAACATTCCTTCGAAACATTTGGCGAAAGCTGACGGCGTGAAAAGACCTCGGGCTAAAGACTACGCCCTGTTTGGCAAAACAGCGCCAAGCCACAAAGCCTCGTGACGCCTCTCGGAAGTTAGTCGAATTTGCAAGTTAAAAAAGGCTAGCTAATCAAGGTGACCCACCTCTGCTATCCACCAAATAGTAAGTGATTAGGTGACTAATCAAAATATCTTCGGGTAAGGATTATTGCGAATCTACAGCCATGCTATTCTACACCAATATTACAAAAAAATATAAAGGATTTTTAGTTCTAGCTTTGTTACTAGTTTCCTAGCATTAAAATATCGCGCTATATCGATGTTTGGATCACTGCTTATAATTAGTCCTTTTCTACACAAAAAGATATCTACTTTGCTTCATTTATGTAGGTTCCGTATAACATGGGTCTGAACTTACATGTGCCTATAAGTTGAAGACCAAATTTGGGTTAATTAAAAAGCTAGGCCTTTTTCAATTCCTGTAGTTGCGTGAGTGCACTAAATGACATTTCATGTCTAACAAATTGCATTGCAACTTCAAATCTTTGTGTAAAATCTACTCACAAAATACATAATTGCTAACCCTATTCTAAAACTAGTTCAAATGACTGAACATTCTTTCCCTAAAACATCCATTCGTACTCCATCCTTGCATCAATACCCAATCCTGACAATTCGAATTGTTCTTGATGCTCCGACTAATGTTGGTGTCCCCTATTCTTCCATTTTGGTGTAAATTTTTCCCACAAAATGTTGCTTTGTAGTTGGTCGCAAAAAAAGGTTCCATGAGAAATGAGGATCCGTTCCTGTTGCCATGGCTAGCGGATTCTAACTGCTCTTTCTACCACCATGTGTGCACTGCATGCATTTATGTTTTTTGAATAGGATTACATAAACGTTTTTCCCATGTGCTTAGTAATACTTAAAATACTAAAATAGAGTCATGAACACAGCAGTGACCCGGTGTGATTATGGTGGTATCTGGGACATTCGGGTTATGTTTATGCCAATGCAATAAAATCACTGCCGCAAGGCGTGTTTGTGATCTTGCAGTACGCGTCTGCGGACGGTCTACCGGTCTCACAGTACGAATTTTCGTTGAACAGGGACACTTTAGTGATCATTAAGAAACAAACTTACTCCCGCTTGCATGCCTAAGCGCTTACCACTAAGGCGAATTACGTCCTTTATTGATCGGGTGATTAATCGATTGCAGGTGACTCATTTGGTAGATACACTAGGACGAACGACAGCGACATTAATAAATGATCAATAATTAGTATTGATTTATCGATCTAGCGTTGCATTTATTGCACTCGTAATTGGGAAGGGTTAGTTTTTCTTCAACACCCAGCAGTGCGATTTTGAGAAAAATACTCAACAAACATTTAAAGAAGCTGCCCAAATTTTTCAATGAGAAAACAAGATTTTAGTGTTTGTAAAGAACAAAAATAAAACCTTAAATTAACTTTGTGGACCTTTAAAAAGGAACACCAGACTTGAGGTTAATGGCTCTGATCAGGGTGATTCTCATGAAAAAGCAAAAAATGAATCATTAAAAACTGATGCCTACGGGTAGCTCAAACATTGAGGGATGCCAATCTGCATTCAAATTTTTGGGGTGTGTATTCAGGTATTTGGCAAGAGTACTTATCCGGTGTTGAAGGAGGGGCTGAGGTAAAAACCTGAATAGCATCGGTGAACAGTGCGGGCGTAGCTATTTCAATCTACGTGGACTTGAGTAGTGACGGAAAGATTATGTGCTGGTTATAAGGTCTTTGCTTTCCTCTTTATGGGCACTGTAAAAAGGTAGGTTTTAAAACACTTCCATGAAGGCTTGAACGTCTTTGACTTAAAAACGTGAAAGATAGTGCTTTCTCAACCCCAATGGGAATCCTCCTCTTTTTTGAATCATGTTTTTATCTTTGCATGTGAATTCCGGAACAAAAAACGTGCAACCCTATCCAAACTGAAAACCCATCAGAAATTAATGTTCGAATTATACCATGTCAGTAGCCCTTAGCCCTTCTGTACATCGACAATGCATATTCTGCTCGGGTATTATGTCCTTTTTCGTCTTCAAGGCAATCTAAGGGCGGTGCAACGGTACAGTAATGAAAATGAATAGCATTTCTGCATAATTCGTTGTCGATATTTCCAGTGTGGTAACACGAAAAATGTACATTTTTTTAAAATCATTATCCGACCTACATACATCACTTTGAGCCTCTTGGGAGGAAAACTAAGTCATGCCTCATCGAGGGCAGTAAAAGAATTCAAGAAAAAGAGATTAGATATTTGGCACCGGAGACTAGGTCTCGAGAAACACTCCGTCAACCTAATGATGATAATCTCAGATTTGGTGTTCTATTTATTTATTTTCTTTGAGTATCAATGACAGAAGGAGGATAAAAACAAGACATCACCCAGAGTACTGAGTGAAAGTAGAGGATAAAAAGGGAAAGCTCTTACTTACAAAATGGGCAAATGACTATAAAATACGTATCAGCTGCATGCAAAATATTACTGGAAAAGTCTTTCATGCATTCGATTATGACTAACACATATATGGTAGATTTTAATAATTAGGTTGAATTTTCCATAAGAGCTTGATGCGAAAATTTATCAGCGCTTTCAACATACCCAGTGTAAATTGTAGCAGTCGTTTGTTGTTTGTGCAATTTATTGGGTGATTTTTCCAACACTTTGTAACAACTTTACTTTTACCGGTTTCGGTATGAATTCAAGAGGGCATGTTACGGTGTTTGATACATACCCCTGATCCAACTTCTGGCTGCTCTATATTCACGCATGGCCACACCCACCGTTAAGAAGTAAACCACAAACAGTATTGGATATGCACAAATTAAAAAGCACTCGCATTACAGATAAATTGTGTAGGACAAAAGCAGCAGAATCTGGCATGTTTAACATCGCAAACTCTTGATCTTCCGCCTAACGGTTTATTACGACTTCGAGAAAGACTCAGGATGCCAAAATGGTAGTGACGGCAAGCAATCCCTATCCAAAGGCAAACTCCTCATTTCCATAGTTAATGATCTAGTTTTGGCTAGAAAACTACTAAGGGGAAGGTTGAAAAAGGCATGCATCCCTGCTAATTTTCTCAATCTTGTATTCTGCAATAAGCTTATCAATAACATGGGCGACGCTAAAGTTAAACTATTTAAAAAGTTTGTTGTGGAGTTTTATACGGTGCCTAGAGGAAGATGTTAAATGCATGAGTAAGCTACAACACCACGTCGCTTTTAGCTGAGCAAAAGCCACATAAACGGGCGGGCAGCACTGGAATGAAGGCGAGGTTGATTGAGGAACAGATATGGAATACTAACTAAATAAAACTACTTGGATTTCGGTTTTATCGGGCGGCAATGCCTTTAGGCTGATATTCCTAAGCCAACAATGTAGAGGGAGGGAGGGGGCGGGGGCTCCGTCTAGTCGCGAGCAGTCCAGAGTCAGTAAGTCGGCTCTACTCAAGGGCATTACACACACAGGCAAAGCTTTGCATATAATGGAGTGTAGAGCTGCATCTATGGAGTTAGAACGAATATCTCACCTCAGTCAAACCACAATGGCTAGAGATTCTGATTCGTAAGAGGTTTATAAATCACCAACTATATTGTGGTCGACACAGGAGAGTAATATAGGGGGTCGTTAAGGGCGGCAATCAAAAGAAGTAGGGACAGCTTGATTGACTTCACAAGACTCAGGGTCTAAAGAGGTTGAATTTCCGCTCGACTGTATGGTCCTCCGGCCCTGCCTGTATCCTCTCATCTCTTCAGTTCATTAAGTATAACTAATTCCTAGTATTAATATGGTCTATTACAGATTCGAAAATGACTTACTGGTTGTTAATCCGTGGATAAGTGAGCGTTATTTTGGATGCGAGTCACGTTTTCAGAGTTTGTGGACATTGGGGATGATGGCGGATTCCATCATATTCAACGCATTTCGCCCTCGAAAGCGACATCTGATAATAGCCTCACCAATGAGTCAAATCGTGCTGCGATTACAGTGCATAAACATTTTTTTTCGTGTGACTCTGTAGCTGCCAATTAAAGCAGAAAATCGGTGCCATGCTGGTACACTTGTACATACATTTATTTAATCAACTTCATCAAGTTCCTGGGAGTGACACAAAGACTTATGATATCACTTTTACACACCAGGTAGAAAATCGGGAACATTAAGTTATCTAATATTTGTTTTTAAAAATAGGCGTTGGTGTTAGCTATTAATCCTAAAGCTTCAGAAGACAATGCATTTGTGCGAATGGTTAGGTAATTTAGTCAAGAGGCGAAATTACAACTAATTTTTGGCAAAAATCTTTTGCAAGTTGGTAAACCTGTCTCCTATTCTATTATGCTGACTTGTTTGTCTTCGTAAAGGAGCGTTTGAGGTCACTCCTGATTCATCAAGCATGATGAAGGTCTACGAAAGGATTGATAGACTCTCAAGGCTCCCCGGCACTTTGCAGGAGTATGAAGACCTTTACATCATGCTTCGGAATTTATCGCGTAGTGAACTCGAAGCTGCAGTGTCAAAACACAACCTCCTGGATATCTTTGGTCACATTGATCTGGGCAACAAGTTCGATGTTCTGCTTATAATATTAAAGTGATTTTTCTGAGGTAGCCTTGAATATAGCTGAGGTCGTCTTTTCAACGTTTCGTCTGACTGAATTTTCGCGTTCCCACGAAACTGAGTTGTTAATGTCGATAACGTCCAGAAATATTCCCCTCAGGGATTTTGTTATTGCGAGGGTGCGCTCTTCTCCTCACTTTAATTTTTAGCTAGTAGATGGTGTTGAAAATTCACCCCCAGAAGATATAGATATGCCCATGAAAATCCTACTAGAGATAAGTAAGATAGCTACTACAGAGGAAATCACTACGGCGTCGTCCGCTCGTGCATTTCTAATGGCTTTTGGTACTCAGAACATAGTTTCTAACACGTCTTCTAGGTATAAACTATCCCGAAGGAGTAAAGACACTTCTAAAGGACCCGTCCCTGAGGAGTTACTTTGAATCACTTACTGGTGATGAGGAGGTTATTCGGTTGTCGGAGGTAATGTCCAATGTTTTGAATTCAGTTGCGTAGATTTTTGCATACATTGCTTCCCAACAGAAGGGAACTTTCATAGAGATGATAGATTGCTCGGTGTTTGATCGCTTAATTTCTGTCCTCAAAAAAGATGACCCTCTGCTACAACTTAACACCTTGGCTGTTCTAAAGTTGTTACTCACTTTTCCTGATGGTCGAGCATTTCTAAAATCACGCGGAGCTGTCGCACACCTGTTTTCTAGCCTCCAAACCTTGAAAGAAAACCCATTACATGATATTCTCCTTCCTGGTGGGTCTGTCTTCCTTCTCTCACAGCTACTTAGGATACCTCAGTTTCTTTGCAACACTGGCCGAGGAAGAACCGATCGATTTTCTCACAAATCCAATTTACAGGCAACCCCTTGTCAGCTGCCTTGCAAGCTACCTCACCACCTCTGACCCAACCATTACTGTAGCTGTCACAGAAACGGTTGCACAAATTTGCAGGACCACGGATGGGAAAAGAGCTCTCGCTGCTTACCTAGGCAAGACTCCAGCATTCCTATTTACTAATTTAAACTGATGGTGATTAGGATGCAACTTCCTTGCTCTGTAGAACCAGGTGCGTGTCTCACTCCGCTGCTTTCAAAGGCCGCCTCCGTAATGCTAAACGCATCAGCAAGCACCCTCCCCAGAATCCTTCTTGCTCTAGCGGATATTTTGAGTCTACCTAACGTGGATGCTGTCTCCGCACTGATACCAATTTCTGAATTAACCTACCAATGGTTCAATCTCATCAGTGCTCCATCACCACCCACTCGTCTTCTCGGCCGTATTTGGGAAATAGCCAGGCAACCTTTCAAGGAAGTCCGCTTGGCTGCTCTGAACTTCCTGCGCGCCATAGCAACCGAGGTAAGATGCTTTTGATTATGATGGCCCTTAAGCCATGGGGAGTTGCGTTATTTGCACAGGTATCTGGCTTTCTGGAGTATCTCTTCAATCCCACTACGGAGGTGGGCACAGCTGTGGACGGCTCTAGCTTGCAGCCGGAAAAATTTAAAATCATCGAACAGTGTGACCTGACCCAGGGGCGCTGGAAAGGTTATGTCACGCAATGGACTCTGCTAGATGACGAGACAGCCGCGAAGTTAAAAAAGCGTGTCAAGGACGGAGTGTGGGGACATACGCGAGCCCAGGCTGCAGTAGCCATGGAGAATGAGTAGGGAATGCCTTTTTACAAAATCATTCTCAATAAAGTGATGATTCCTCCTTAATAGAGTTTTCATGTACGTCAAGTAACCAAATACATACAAGGTGGAGCTTATTCGTAGTCGAAATCATCTAGCATGCCGTTGTATTCCTGAACTTTCTTCTTAATTTTGGAGCCAGGAGCCCATGTGACGTAGTCTTCCATAGGCCTAAAAGGATGGAAATTTAGGAGTCAGATAAAAATCTACGAACAAGACGACTGAACAATAATACGGGAGTGGGATTTATTAAAAACACATCTCCCACACCCTCCCGTGAATTATTGGCTATCACTTTGGGGGAAGCTCAACAGAATCGTGGGCGGGTGGTAATTAGGAAGAAACTGGCCCATAGAATACAGAATAGCGGTGACGTGAGGAACGCCTGCACGCGAAGACATACCGGGTTACGAGAAATGCGGGGTCGCGGATGGTGTCTGGACCGACTCTGACGTGCCCCTGCTCAATAAAAGTTACAGCAGCTTTGAGGGTTTCAGCCATGTGCGCGCGGACCATCACGACCGGAAGTCGTCTTCTGCAAAACGACGACGCGCTAACTTTAGAAGCCAGCATTAATGATGATTTTGTTGGGACCAGGCCAAGATTGTGCCTAAAAGGGGCGTAAACCAGACCTTTACATACAATTTATTCAAAAGCATGTTGGTCATTTCTGCTCGCCATGGGTCCTTTCCGTCAGTATCCTTCAGCTTATCTGCTATTTCGCGTATGTGCCTTGACAGCTTGTTATATCTAACTGTGCGTAAAAGTTGGAAAGATGCGCATACAATGTGTAATCTTCGCGTTTTTGAATGTAAAATCTCTTGACTACCTTTAGTTCATGAAGATTGTTGTCTGCAGACCAATTGATGAAATCGAACTTCTTCAGAAGTTTCTTCTCGTGGTGTCTAAGCTTTCGCACCATGGCTTTCAAAGTGACCGGTTCCGATAGTACTAATATAAAATATGTAAAATAGGGGAAGACTTGGGATAATTAAACATTTAAAGCAGCAACGTTTTAAAAAGGCTTTCGAAAAAAAACTTTACTTAGGCTTCCAATGCTTTTACTGTTTCGGAGTGTTAGTGAAAACTAGTTATAGAATTTTTGCTTTAAAATTTGTTTCAGCCATTCTTGAGTGCCAATTCGCTTGGTTAAACATCATGTAAGAGTTTCAGTGCAATGCTGCTATGACGCATGGGAGGCCCGATTCCAATCGCGGAGCTAGTTTGAGGAAGAATAAACAGTAGAATTCTCAGCTTCCTTTGCTCTTCCAGAGTTCTGCCTTCAGCAGCAAACGTTGGATCTGCAATGAACCTAAATTTTGGTCGATAGGAAGTTGTCTACTATACTCTTGGTGAGCGGAACACCGCCGAGGTTTGTAATTAGCCATATAAAAATATGTGTAATACGATGGTGGTTTATTCCTCGGCATGGGTGAGGTGTCACTTTTGTACTTTGAATTAGTCTTCTTGTATTTCGCTGGGTGGGCTGGCCTTCGGGCCGTGCCAATAGACCAAACACCTCTGTACTATATGTATATTCTGACCGAGTATTGTCTTCTTTCGTCTTCAGGGAAGTCTCGGGACGCTACATATGCGTAGCGTTTGACTACGCCTCTTGTTGGTTAGTGTTCATCCCCTCGTACCACAGGGCTTTTGCTAAGTCCAGCCAAGCTGGTAGCTGGTGAATGTGAAAAGATCAGACCAACAGGGAGAAAATTAAGACGTAAAGTTTAAAAAGAGTATTAAAGAAAGTTAGATCTGCCAAAGCATCATCAAAAGAAGTCTATTGATAGGCATTATTCAAGTCAAATGTAGAGAGGGAATCTGAAATGTACAATCATCCCAACATCGTTGCGGTAATAGGACAACCACCACAAATCTGATGAGTCTTACCATTCACATTTGCGAGGAGTCGCATGTGGTGTTACCCGGACTGATGCCTAAAGTGGTGTGAGCATTCCCTTCCTTGCTAGGTAATCCAACGCTTTCTAAGTGCACTCATCCCCTTCCGAATGGAGTAACGCACCTATTCATCCATAAATGCTGGAAAACCTTTAATATCGAGCAATGGTAGCTCAATTTCCACCCCTGTCAGATGCCTTTCAGCAGCAATACAATAACTGGGGAAGCTCCGTCTGAATATCGGTGGAAAATGTTGAGATAGGAATGCTCCAAACTCTCATACCTCTCAAACCAATTCTGGGGGCCTTATAGATGACCGAAGACTGACGTCTACTAGGTTTAAGATGGACATCAGCAATCATTTGTTGGAAGTGCAGAATCATCAGCGAGTGTCTTGTAATGCCTCTCACATAAGCATCAGGCATCTACGCGAAGTTTAGGGCTTCTAAGGAAAGCACGGCAAACAAGGGGTTCAGCGCTGCCTGTGTTCACAAGGGAATACCATTTTCGCACTGTCGACCGGACAAGATGTCGTAATGTAGCTGGATGGACAGATAGGAACGAAAATACGAGAGAGTACGAAGGTTAAGTTGTTTAAGCTGTTTGATGAATCGGGGATACCCCTGTTAACCACACTCATGACATTTTGTATTTTAAACCGACTCACCAGAGGCGGATAACTTAAACTGCACAACTCATCGTTGTCCCATCGCCATGGCATTTAAATGTGCTACCTGGATGTCAATGGGACGTAAAGTAGGTTGTCACACTCTTGAATTACCTAACGTGTTGGTCTCCTAGCCTTTTTGAGCTGGTTTAGTTTAGAATCCACGTCTCAACTGTCCCAAAATTGTGATACTACCCACACGGCGTCCAATGGATTGAAATTTATGATGTGTTACCGACAAGACCTCTTGTTGAAGTTCCGATAAATCTACCGGCAACTGGTCACCGAAATTGCAACAGGCCGCTTCTATTTGAAATTGAAAAGTGAAGTTTCTGATAGGTCTGCTCATTTGACTTCCTTGATGCGCACAGACTGTTCATGGCCCATTGGATTTCCCTCGGATTTTCACACAGGTGATACTGGCTATTCTAGAAACGGTAGATCATTCACCGGTGCGTCAGCATCTTATCAGGCCCCCCATAAAGAAGCGAGCTATCTGCCTTGCCACCTTTAGGTCCTTACGAGCCGCCCTCAAATCTCGAAACGTTTAAGATCAAAGAAGGCAAAATGAACAGTATAGGTGAACACTTGTAATAGCATGATCCAAGTTCTCCTAGACGCACGACGAATTCCTTTCTTCCAAAGTTAAACAAGGAGTTGTTCCTGTCGCCTTGATCCCATGGATTCCCTCGCATAAGGTGCACTCTTGCTCATCATAAGGCGAGACAACTCCTCACTGAAGTAGCGGTAGAGCACGGTAATTGCGCGTGGAGAGCCCGTTACCATGGCAGTGTCATCCTCTTCCTCTTCGTCCTCCTCGGTACCTGCGGCCCCCAGGCTGCTATTGCTCCCGTTGGTGCCACCAAACACCGTACCACTCACTTGCGTGGAGACGCGACTAGAGGAGAAGACGGCAGATGTAGAGAGATCCTGTCGGCTGCTTCGTGGCGTCGCTACTAACGAAGCTTCCGGGTAGAGGGGGATTTTTAAGTTCCTATGTTGACCTTTGATCATCATCTCGTCAACCCAAATAATGAGAAGGCGGTAGAGGAAGCGCAATTGGGACTAAAAGCGATGAAAATGGAGAACTTTTGTGCCTCCACTTGATTCTGCAGGAGTCACTGTAACAAAGGGATTCATAAGCCATGAGGTTGCATGCCGCGTGACAGAAAACTGACAATATAGTATAGCTAGAAAGTTAAGCACGCATGTAATGCTAATTGAAAGGAAAATGGAAAAGAGGACAAAAATGAAACACGGATATTTATGGTAACCTAATTTGATTCACGTCAGCATCGTTCGTACCTTAGTCCCATGTTTGGTTTCCCATTCTACAACCTGGTCACGTGGAAGATTTGAGTTAGGGCTGAAGTAGTGGACCACGGATGAGCTGGAAGTATGGACAGTTGAAAAGGAAATGCTCTGAATTTTGTATAGATGAATGTTATGACTTTATGCAGTTGGTATTTGAACAGTATTTGAGATTCTAGAATAACTTGGTAAAGCAAAGCAGCCAGACATACAGTTGCGTCTCACTGTGAAATAATCAGGTAAGGGACCGGAAGTGAAGCCTCCTCAAAGCCTACTTTTTTTCCGCTTTTAATGCTGTATAACTGTATAGCAGTAAAACATTGTATTCCTCCTTATAATAAAAAGACTTTGTTTCTTTTCCTGATCAGAGACACCATCGAAGTCCGATTGTTCGAGCTGCCTACCTCTCGAGGAGCTTAGTGCGTATGAGTTAAGTGGATGGGTAATTTAGTGGGGCTGAGCCGGTGACAAAAGGTTGGGTAGGTTATTTATTTTCTAAATTTGCTCGTGTTTGTATTCTTCGTCAACTGTCACACCATAGGGATTTTAGGCATGATTGTGCTGGGGATGCTTCCTAGTAGACAGACTCTAAGCCGCTGCGATTTCGTTCAATTCTCTCGTACTAGTGGTTACGATAATATCAAGGCCAATCAAATACCACAAGTACGCAATACTAGAACCGCCTCGTGTCGCCAGCATTCCGCATCATTTAGCAAGCAGTCGGAAAGTAGAAGCTTACCCAATACACGTCGACAAATGAAGACGCTCATATGGATGTCCGATTACTCAGGCTAGGGGACCGACAAATTCCTAAAGCTCGATCGCCTAGACAACAGATTATAAAAGAATGAGTAACTGGATGCTACCTCGTGCCGGAATCCATAGGTCTTCATCGACTCATAGATCACAGCCCCCAGGGCTTTAGACTACTGTCGCCGTCTGTAGTTTCACACCTGGCTCGCCGCAAGCTGCACGAATTAACCACTGTAATATTTTAACTGAAACAACCAGGATTATTCCACTATTTTAAGAAACCCCAATTTTAAGCAAACGCAGAGTGAAGTGATGCTTTGTCGAGAAGTGGGAGAGGCATAACAGACTAAAGCGCTCAAAACCTGATAACTTTAAAAAAAGACAAGGTGAGGAGGAGAAGAGGACGTTGCATGCGTGACTCACCACAGAGGCGACTGCAGCGCGGCGACGTAGTTTCAGAGACTTAAGGGTGTGAAAGAGGTCGACAAAGCGGTCTCGGTCCAGACATTCGATGAGAAGGTGAGCGGCGAGAAAGAGACCGCTACGCGTCGCTCCGTCAGCGCAGAGCACTACCGCGGGGCCGATTCCACGCGCCGCCGCAAACGTCTCTATTGCCTGTAGCATCGCCCTCCGAGGTGGTACCTATCGAATTACAGACATTTGATTCAAAGTTAACGGAATTGGACGTTTAGGTGTCCTACTACTATTTAATTCCATCTTACGATGTAGATAAACAGATACAGGCTTTCACAATTGCCCTGAACACCTAACCATATTTAAAAATCATCTTTTTATCAGATTTGTAAAGTTTATCTAGAAAATCTTGCTGAATTTCTTCTCAACTAACAATTTATCCTCCTGATTGATCCAGCTCTGCACAGGCTGCTAAACAAAGTAACCATCACGATCCCACCTATAACTACAACACATGCTCAATATTCCCTCCTAGCTATTCGTATCTAGCCTTGAGTTTACGGTTAATTTAACCATTTTTTTTGACCCGTTTAAAACTGTTGAACAAGAGGATTACCACGAGAGGTTACCATTAAGGTGAGATCGTACACCGCAGCGCTTCTATAAATAATCTCTACTAGAATGCAGGCTTCTCACAAATTCTGCTCAAAACTGGGTAGCAGATATCGTAGGACTTCCGTGAATATAATAAAGGGACTTGTAAAAATCATCTCATTTACTGACATGTATTAAGACTTGTAAAGTACGTCGGTTGACTCATCACGTCATCGACTGTAGCGAGAAAAACACGTCGCAGACGAATTCGCGATCCAGGAGGCATGTAGTAATGACTCCCTGTAGGAAGCTCATCACGATCCTCAGTGAAAATACAACTTTTAGAAAGCAAAACACCCGTACAATGATGCATGTCTGCAAACGTTTCTATCTCTCGACTGATTACACTCCACTGGAGAGCTTTTGATGGTCAAAGCGGCTAAAATGACCACAAGGAGCGCTGCAAAGTATGCTTTACTTTTGAGCCGGTTAGCGATCAACTTTCTGGATCTTCTAAGAAAAACCATCTTCAGAGTCGAAGAAAAAAGCAAACCTCTATAAGTTAGCCGACGCTAAATTGTCCGACCTTTTAGAGCAATCTGACACGTAAGGTCTCTTGCCAAAATGTTTAATCTTAAAAGCATTTATAACCATAATATTTTTCTTGCCTACCTTAATAGCACGACAAAACGTGCGAAGTTACCCTTAGTTATCATATAAAAGCTGAAATAAAGACGTTAAAATCCTTTTTTGAATTACAGATTGCAGACCTGGTTACCCTGCCTCCAGTGCGCCTTGAAGTGTAATATGTTCACTGTGCGGAACTCAGCTCTTCGTGGAGCTGAAATGTGCTGCTGTTGTTGCGGTAGGAGTCGTCGAATAATGATGCGCCGCTTGAAGAGACACCCAGTGGCTCTTCTACAATCACTCTGATGCTGCTGTTGGCGCCGACGCCGACGATTACGCCTGGGTGACAGAGCTAAGGAAGGTGGAGGAAGAGACTCCAACCGACCCACCTGCGCCAACTGGAACTCGGCGAGGTGGAACCAGGCTCCAGTGTCACGTGGCACCGCCATCTCACCCTCGCTATCCACCACGCCGCCGACATCGAGCACGCGAGTGAAGGCAGTAGCAGTGGTGCTATTGTAGGTGCCCAATAGGGCCTCCTCTTCCATGTCACCCGCAGCACCACCGATGTATGGAGGCCAAAATGGAAACGCGTCGCTATCTGCTTCGTAGCACGAGGGCTCCATGTCCACCACACAGGAGATCTGCATTGAAGAAGGAAGCAGACATATGATTAAAATGATGTTTATGGGGTACAACGGGAAACTATCAGATTTACTTCTTGTCTAGCGTTTGGATGTGGCAGTACTTTGTGTCGTTTCAAGCAGCAGACTAACCATTGAGAGGTTTGAGCATAACACTTGAAATTAGGTTAGCAACTTTTTACGAATAATAATTTGTCCATGCAGTCCATTAGGGTCTATATTGTTTGTACGGAGTTATTTCTTTTTTCTGACTCTTCTACATGCTTACCCGTGTCGCACAACGTTTTCACAGCTACCATGAACGGTACATTGGTGTCAAGATGATGAATTGACCTACCTAGCGTTCTGAGAAAGCTTGTATCCAAATGGACCAACTAAGCGCCACCCAAAAAATAATAAAGAAGGGCATTTGCTGCAAAGCGATGGAACTGCGGGGATTTACAACACAAGACTGTCAAAACCACAACACTTGGAAACGGAAAAAATGAGGCTAGGTGATACAACACAATTATGCAACACAGTGGGGTATATCGTCAAGCGACGAAAAAAGTACGTGGAACCATTTGACAATGAAGAAGGAAAATGAGAGTTTGGAAACCATCTAGTTCCACTCTGCATACTTAACAGCACCAATAGAGAATAACTGAAAAAATGAAAGGAAACCTTGCAAGTGGAGTGTAATAAGAAGGCCGCACCCTATGTTGGAAGACGAGACGCCAGAAAGCCGCCACGGCGGTGATAGGAGAGCGAGCAAGAATCACGTCCTCTTGTACCGTCAATCCGTCCACCCACACTGCGGCCAATTCGTTCTCGCCTTCACCGCTCGTAGTGGCGGAAGAGGGCAGTGACGGCGACGGCGTGTAGTTGTGCAGCAAGTACCACTGCTCCTGCAAGTACGTGAAGCCCGCTGTCACGTTCCGCTGGCTTAGCTAAAGGGCCAACAGTCATGAATAATTAACAAACCATAAATGCTTGTACGTCCATTCAGTTTGCTTGTGAGAACATGGTACAAAAGCAGAAGAAATAAGTAAATGAAGAGAAAGTGCGAGCACGACACCTTATAAACTTTAGCTAGAATGTCCCGAAGCAGCTCCTACATTCTTGAAATACTTAGTCAAGAAAAATTCATTAACCGAGGCTAAAGAATCTACAGAAACAGTTAAAAAGACGGCGAACATTTCACTTACTTAGATCATAGTCGAGAATAAATCTACTCAAGAACACCCCTGTGACAAAATTACAATCTAAGAGTAGACAATGGAAGAGATAAATGGGTTAGCAATTAATAAAGAGTAGCTGATCAGACCATTCTATTTGTGCGAAGCTTATAGCGTGTAAATTAAGATGCTCAACCAGTTAATTTCTCCGCCAAAACGAAGCTGGCCACTCAAATTGAGGAGGAAGAGGTGGGAGCACAAACGCACCGAAGCGAGGGCGGAGCGAATGTCAAGGTCAAGAAGAGCGTGTCCAGCAATGCCAGCCTCAAATAGGAGGTCATAGAGGAGGGCAAAGCGACGCGGCGAGGGTATCGCGCGTTGTCGCGCGCGTCGCAGCACCGCGCACGTCCGCACCACCGTAACCGCGTGCTCGTACATCAACTGTTGGAAGAGCGTGTCAAAGGCCACGAACACCGAAGAACGCGACACCCCTGTGAGGTGAGAGATGAAAAATGCCATTTAGCTATTTATCTTAATATTGGAACAGTAAAAGAAGCCGACTTCTCCCCTTTCACTTATTTGCTTAATTAAAGCAGCGGAATTAGTGCAGCTAACCATCCAAATTCCTTGCCCCATCGGCTGACTAAAAAGTGTCTCTGGGAAAGCGACCACTCTGATGGTTGATACTTTTTATATTCTCCTTGACTTTTTTTCATATGGTTACAGTCACCCATTGAAAGGAACTTATGCACGTGGGGCTGCATGAGTTACACGCTAGCCAAGAATAAAGCCTCTTGGCATGGCTATGGGCTTCAACACTTCATTTCGTAATATTATTTTGACTAACTCCGTCACAAAAAGCCTTCCAGACACATCTCTGGTATCAAATTTCCCGACCACACTGAATCATTTCGAGCAAAGGAATATTACTGCCATAATGCCAAGGTCCATTCTCGCCATCAATTTGTCGCTTATTTTCACTGAAGATGTATTACTGACAGTCTTTAAACTCGCTTACCGTCCTCACAGTGCACCAGGATGGGTCCATCCTCCAAGCGTGTGGCCATCTTCACATGGAAGTAGAAGTCAATAAAGGCAAGGTGATCGAATCCATCCACGAGGTCGTCTTCATTCTCGTTGTCGTAGACACGCCATCGGTGGTAATGGTACTGCGTCACACATTGCCTCGAGCCTCCTGTTGCTGACAGATCAGTAACGCGGAAGCGTCGCACGCTGAAGTGTGCGTATTCCACAGTATCCACCGCCTCAATCACCACGCTATCGTACTGACGGCGCTCGCTCCCACCTCCGCCTCCTCCTTCCACATTCCCCGGCTTCACGTAGAAAGGTTAAAAATAGGTGATAAATTCTAACATCGTCACAAGTGGCGAAGCAATGCACATACATGCATACAAACGGAAAAAAATACCCAATGAAGCCTAAACATACATCTTAGACGATGAGCAAACGCCTTTCCAGGTGGTAGTTGTTGATTTTAGTTACGTTTTCCTAGCACGAGCAGATACCAACAAAATGTGAACACGAGTGTTGACGATCCCCTTCACGATGTTTCGAAGGCGGCAATCCAAAAGTTCAAATTAGGCGAGGTGCTAGACCAAATAAGCCGCTAAAAATATAATTATCATAATTTTCGGCTATGTGAGTAGGTTGTCATTCACTACTGATTTTATGCCCTGAATACCGCCTCCAGTAGCCCCATGGTGTAAAAGATCCGTTCTTAAAGGCGTAAAGTTATTAAGCACAATGCGCTTGTAGTAGATGAGATATGGCAGGACTTTGAGCCTCCTCAGAAGTTGTAATAAGTTGTCCAAATATATAAGAAGATCCACCACTAGCATGAAGGGCGAAGGATGGAAGGTTGCAAGCCGTGTCGCCGCGAGCACAAAAAGAGTCCGTGTAGTTAAACGTATATAAAAACGGTACGAAGCCACGAATACGCTAGTGGATGCAAAGTAGGTATCCTGGTACTGGTGCAAAGTTGAGCTTTTTCAAATACATGTGGTTTCATGTAAGTCATAGGAGAGGTAACGTTAGACAAACTGGTGGCCTTGGTAAATGACTGCAAGTGAGATCTCCCTTTCTCCACCGCATTGGCTGCTTCGATTCTCGTTTGACATAAATAAGATGGACCGCCTGTTAACCAAAGTAACTTGTCTTCCTCCAGTTATTCGATCGCCATGACTTTAGTATAGAGTTTTGTCCCTTTTGCATATGCTTCCAGTCTGCTCGTCCTTCTCTGCATCAGTAATAATAACGTTTGGTACTATCGGTGGTGACTCAAGCGCTGTTTCCTCAATGTGTCTACCTAATCAAACGGACTGAAATACAAATAGTTTTTACAAAAGAAATACAAAGTAAGTTATTGAATATTTGTAAAGATGAATAAATACTTTGACTCCTGATGGACCCTGCTTCAACGGACAGGACTCACATCTGGCCAGTACTTTGTGCATTTCACCACTCCAGCCTCAATCTGGTTATCGAGGAGGACAATCTGGGCAACATTGCACTGGACCACCATGGTCCAGAAGTCACTCGCCGTCGCTGCGTTGAAGGGACTCTGAGCACTTATGTAAACGCGTCGACGCAGGTAGCTGTCCATATAGCTTGCGTTAATGTAGTCCGTCTGGCAGTCGCCCATTTCACAATGACGTCGCAGATGCACGCGGTTGTGGTCAAATGGGAGGGATTCAAGGCACCGATTCTTGCCCCGATTCACCGCTCGTCTTGCTTGAATCTGAGATAGGGCTTTGTTCACTGGCAGACTGTGTGACAAATAAGCAAACGAAGAGATTGCTCAGGGCATCAAACGATCAACATTGCGGCATTACTTATACCTAAAGAACTGCGTCCAAGTACAGCGGGTGTTCATGTTAAAGCGGGACACTCGGTTACACTGATAAAAAAATCCGACACAAAGTACCTTGTCAAATTTATGTGCTCATCTGAAACTGAACTGATATCTACAGCGTTTTGGCATGGTGGGACTTGCCGCTGTGGCTGATCCACCCCGAGGTACCCGAAAGAGCTTACTACTCAAAATAACTAATACTCGTGGATACGTTTCTACAGCTTCTCCCTTGTGCAATTTTATTGCAGGCTATACGTTGGTCGGACTTCCAAGACCAGGGTATTACATGCTGAATGTTCACGGGAATGACCGCTGCGCTGATAAACTGCAAACCATCACGACCCCCTATCGTTACTAACTTGTACACTGTCCAAATACCTTACTGCTGAGTGGCCAAGCATTCCATCAGTCTTCCGTCCTTAATATCTTTTGCAGAAGTTCATATTTTGGTTTGGTGTATTTGCTCACAAGAATCTCCGTTCATCACAACACGCTATCGCATTATCCTACCATCCTAAATGAGGATACTTAGAGACTGGCCCATAAAATGATCCTCGGGTCGTTGCAAAGGAGCACATCCCCCACTTGCCACTGTGTGTGGTATGGTAGTCTGTACGAGTTGCCAGTTGTAAGGGTTCCGAAGCTCCTATATGTTTCAAGATCGAGGTCACCAGACAGAGGAGAACCTCTCAGACCACCAATCGGCGTACAATGCATTCTACTTATAAGGAAAGAAAAATTCAAGGGCTCTAATCTGCATGTGAAAGTATTGCCATCTAGTCAGCCAGTAAGTCTATACACCTCAATTTGTTTCAGTGGTACGTCGTCGTCAAAACAACTGCCAAACTACCTATCTGGTCTCAGCTATCCAAGTCTTCCACGCGATGTATAAATCAGGTTCCTTTAATAAAAGCGTCTGCATGAATGTAGCCTACATTATTAGCAAAATATGGGCGTTGTGAAGAATATTGCACCCCGAGCTATGAAACCCGTCCAGCTGCTGTTAATTTGCCTGTAATTCGTGATGGATGCATCTGCTTCGCTCCAATGCTGCTGCTTCTAGCGCATCGTTGTTTACCATCCTTATCTCGACTCAGAACCACTGTAAATGTCGAAACTGGCTAGGCCTACATCGCTTCCGGACCCTGCAAGTTCCTTTTCAACAGTGCAATGTTGTGGCAGTAGCCACAATTTCAGGCATCAAACTCCGGCTCCGTAAAAACAGGATTGATTTTCGACGGATATACATCACCCTTATGAACCGTATCTTCAACGACCGACTTCTGCATTTTATCACAAACCAAACCTTGTGTGTGAATGTTAATAAAAATATACCCATAGATATCCCCAAATCTTTTGTCTAGCGAAAAGACAACAGTACACGGCTGGAGAGGATGAAAACCGCCTAAACACGCAGACTAACCTCTTATATTCCCTGAAAAATGTTTCAGCAATCTCCCGAAGATCCTTGGTGCCCAGTAAGGTGTTATCTGGTCCGCGTTCAGGATCGATGACAAGGAAGCGAGGATCACGCAGATTTAGGGGAAAGCTCCAAGCCCCGTAGGAATTTGGCATCGCTGCCATGCAATCCTCGATGGGGGATGAAGTAAAGGTCCCACTGAGGCGTCGTTTGGGACGCATGTTGAGGGAGTACTGCTTGGACTGAAGGTAAAATTGCTAGATATCAAAATCAAAAATTAAATGAAAAATAGATTAATTTTTAACAAAATTATGCGAAAGGTGTCAATGCAGTATACGTGCGATTTAACGGCAACATGGCAGCTAAAAAGGGTGGGGAGTGGATTAAAATAAGAGCTGAGGATAATCATCAAGCAACAAATGAGGAACAGGCAGATAAAACAACAGAAGATGAGTGTAGTGGAGATGCAGAGACAACATCCAACATACTTGACTAGGGCCTTGAAATTTAACCATAAGGGTGCATGAATGCAGATGGTAAGTTTTCACAGTGGACGTTATTTTATTTCTAGTTAACCATTGTTGTCGCATCATCTCCGTTTTTTGCAGCTTCTACCTGGAAACCGCCTTTTGTTAAAGGATTCAGTTGTACTTCCTCATTATGCGCAATTATCACCTTTAAAGTAGAATGCTCGGAATTTTTTAGTGAAAAGTGAAAATACAAGCAATTTAGTGAGGATATTAGGGCACTGAATTCGAGTTCCCGTAATCTTGGACTCGTAACATTCAACGAGTCTGTGCAAGTCAAATCCGGTTTTACCAGCTTCACTTATAATTTCTTCACTGGGTATGAGTAAAACGCAAGTGGGATCCAAGACCAACCTGTGGAGCCCGCAATCCATCTACTTGTTTTTTTTTCACTGTCCTTCATAACAGTCGACATTCCAAAGTGCATTCCACTGTTGGGTAAACAGGATGAATGATTGCCACCACAGTTTGCTAGAGAAGAGCAGAAAGACAAACCTTTTGCCAAAGTAGCGACTGATCCCTCAAGCACCGCCACCAGACGAAGAGGGCAAGGAGAAGGATACAGACGACGAAGAGGAAAATAGCGACCCCAGTACCCACAGCTGTAGCAGCGGTGCCAGAAGACCGTGCAATCAGTAACGGCGCCGTGCGGACTACTTTTGTCCCTTTTGGTGACACTACGAAGTCCTCCTCCTCCACTGCGTCTACGACATCGCAAAGACTCGAGGCGACAAGAGCAAATAGAGTATACTTGGAGTCTGGTTCGAGAGGCGGGTCGGCGAACATTCGGAGATCCGGATTTTTGGTGCGGAAATCCATCTCCACCTCCACTACCCCATCCCCTACCACCACTACGTGGCTAGGATAAGATCGTGAGTGCAATACAATACTCGCACTTGATGGAAGGGTGAGACGACGACGCAGAACAGAGGAAATGCCAGCTAGAGTAGGAAAACAGGCTTGGATTTTAGCGATATCAACGAGTAATCTTTAGCAGATTATTGTAGGGATGAACCATTCCAAATCACAAGGACGTTCTGACAGACAAAAGGAAAAAAACTTGAACGAATTTTAATTGTCTCCTTTGGAAGATTAGAAGGACACACCGCAAAATACAGAGTTGATTCCACTTATTCTTCACCAAATAAATCAGTAAAGCTGGATTTTAAATGTAATCTTTAATGTTAAACTTCAACAATGTTGAAATCGCGTGAATTGTCAAATACGGAGTGACAAAACTCCTGTCAAACCAACCTAGTTCCGAGCCCGTAGCCATAGCAGCATGATCCGAACTGACAGCGAGGAAGAAGTCAGTGAGGGGACCACCAGCGTAGCCGGAGATATTAGGAAAGCGGAGGTGCAGAGTGCGGTCGAGCACTTCCAGCACCTGTGGCGGTGGCATCACAAAGTTGGGAATAGCTTCGAAGGGCTTTGGAGCTGTCCAAAACTCCATCGTCACACCCACAAAACGCGCCTCTAAATAGCCGAATTGATGAATGAGTTGAGTGAATGCGCACATTACGACCGCTGATTGAGGAATTAGTACCAGGTACTCGATTTGATTAGTGGAATTGAAATTGAATAATTTAGGTAGGTGAACGATTCTCCATATGTATATGAATAGAATGACAGATGAATGAATTGATCTGAGACAAATAAGTCTGGTGCAAATGCATTTGGAGCGGAGGAATTTATCAGGGATAAACATTTGATTGCCGGATAGATGGATGGATCACTAATGAGTAAGCGCCTGAAAGGTGGATAAGAAATGAAGTGTATCAGCGACAGGTGAATGATTGAGGACGATAGGAAGCGGAATAAGAGAACATGTGGGTTAATTGGTCGACTTAGGATGGATGAAAGGAGGTAGGCTATAGCTTAAATTGGAATCAAACAACCTTGTTTAATGTCCAATGACTTAGTTAATGAAGTAGTGTAACGGCTGCTGCCTCTAATTATTCCCAAAGATCAACATTAGTCACGGGACAACACCTACTGATTACTAAAACACGCCTTCAAGATAGGAAATCATGACGCTAAACTCACTGGGGGTGGAAGAAGCCCAAGCGTAGAGGCGGTAGCGAGTGGCGGGATGGATGTTAGCGGCAAAGGAGAAGTGGTGTCTCATTCCTAACGCCGTCTGAACCAAGACATCACCTCCTCCAAATCCAACAGTCTGGGGTATTCGGGTCTCCACTGGGAAAGCCGACACCTACAAAGCAAAAATGTAAACTCGATAATGGCTTCTTACAATGGAAGGGAACTTGGGAGACGACCGAGAAGAGAGCTGGGGTAAAAGTGAGTGTCTAAACGGAACACACAAATAAATAAGCTTTCCTCGACGACCATTTGCTGCTGGGCTGGCTTGCAGTAGAATTCCACCTCGTCTCCGAACCAGTGAATTTCACAAATCAGACTGTGGAGTGGGAATTGTAACAGGCTAATCGTAAGTTACCAATAATACGGCCCTTTTCTTTGCCGCAAAATTTATTCCACTTCCAAGTCGAAGAATCAAATGCATTCAGCGACTAGAATGATTAAGAAACGACGCTTAAAGGCAGAGAAGACTTACCTGTTTTGGATGAGATCTGTCAATTTGGCTGTGGGACGACTAGAGAATCGTAATGAGATCGCTCTGTCTCAAAATATGGCTGTACTACGCACTTTGGACCATGGTAAGGCAAGAGCAAGGGATCGTCAACGCCGTGCGAACCATAGGGGCAGACAAGTGAATTTGGAACATGCGAAAAGAGCAGATAAGATAAAATCTCTCTTCCTCCCTCCTCTAGCTAGTTAGTTTGACAACTCTTATGATTAAGTTGCAAAACATTATTTAAGAATACGAACTTTTCATTTGTGTAGTGGAGGACCTGTGGGACAAATCAAATTCGTTATACTATCTCCACTCCTGTCGCGTGAGCGCATCAAATCCAACCGAAAGGCATTGTGGAATACACTTAAAACAGGAAAAGAAACGTGTGACAAGGAGAGAGGGAGCATTCGTACACCATTGAGGTGGCTTGTGATTTCCCAATTATTTGACCTTTCTCGCAAAACGACTTTCAACTTCACCGTTGGGCCATGGATGAGAAGACGGCGAGTGGGAGTGGCCGACAGTCACACGACTTTTCATCGTCATTATCACCGTCACCGTGCTAAAGCTGCGTCATTTGTCCGTCTTTGTTTACTCTGGCCCCTGTGCCATGCAACCCTGGATTTGAGCTGCTCAGACAAGGATGATCGATTGAGGGCTGACTTGTCAAAGCTGGATGCGATTCATTGAAAGTTGGGTCGGTGCTTGCTCAACCGACCCTGCAACCAATTCACAACTTGCATATCAGCGTAAATGTGCCCACTCAAATTCACTCTACCTAGCAAAGGTGAAGGGGGAAGTTGACTTATCAGTCGACAAAAAAAAACGAGTTTGGAAGATGCAACGGCTTGGAGGCTCGGTCACGGGACAATCAAGAAGTGAAAACTCACATGGCTCGTTCCAAACAGCATCGCAGAGAGAGGAGTAAAATAACACGTTTTGGCCATCTGTTACCCTATTGATCGCCGTAGAAACGAATAAGCATATCTTGGGCCCTCAAATCAAGACCGCAACCCACTAATCAATCAATTAATTAATCGATTGACATTGCTTTTTAGACGTTCTCACGCCACACTGAAACCAATAACTGAGTCACCATGACCGCATTTTTATCCCAAGCCATTGCCAATGCAAAAGTTTTTGCTTTGGAGGCTTGACTACTCCAGAGCCTACAAAATCAGTCTCCGCTTTTGACTTACCCAAAGTTGACTAAGCTCCAGTGGGAGAACATCGAGGAGGTGGAGGCGCACAACGAAGCTATCGTAGTGACGCTCCAGCAGACTCATTTGCAACTTTGGAGGTGCCGTGGTGTCGGCCGCGGTGAATGTGCTGAATTCAATGCTGCCACTACTGCCACCACTGACGTCGTTCTCCTCGCCACCCACCGAGACGTCAGAGCATGCTACGCTGCCCTGCTCGTAAAGAGCAAACACCTGTGGAAAGAACCGGAGAGAATGCAAAAACTAGCTCCTGAACCATGTTTTACTCTCGACTAAAGATGGCCTTAGGCAATTTGGGGCACCAACAGATTTTAAATTCTGCATCTAAAAAATTGTTTCTTACTTTCTTTAGATCACGACGATTGTTTTCATCTTACAGTGCAGACTCGGTGAACCGTAAACGAGCAGTAAATTGAATTGAAGTGACCCACTTGTACCAAATGGGGACCCGGTGACCCCATTTCGATGGATGTCGCACTAATCACATATCCCAAACTTACGTGTAGTAGGGTAAACATTTTCATTCAGCTCTCAAAAAATGCACTTTCAAAGCTGGATCCCCAACGAAAACAATTACAATTAAATGGTTCATTTTTTTTTCCTTCATCTCCAACAAGAACATACTCACGGAGTTTACACGATTCATACTACACGTGATAAAACCTCAACACCTCTCAATCAAGGCATCAATTTGACTATGTGCAAAAAAGGGGACGCTTGATCACCATTGTGGTCAATGAACTGACCTCTGAACTTCAATTCCTCAAGGGGGTATTAGACAAGGAAAGTGGGGTATTGCGCCATGTCTCTGTGCACAAGTGAATGGCGGCATAGCCGTCACATTATACACTACTTTTTACAAAATTCACCCACTTGAGCTCTGTACTTGATCCCTGGAGTGAGATCCGCAGCCACGATGGCGGTGGTTAGGGAGTTGGTGCGGTAGTGCTTGACGACCATCTCGCCCTCCATTGCTCCGTTGCCTTCGAAGGAAGTAAGACTCAACTCATAGCCCGTCAGCTCACCCAGCCCGCAGGAGTGGAGGCCGTGATGCCACTGAAACACAGCCCATGTCCCAGCCAGCCCCACCAGGGCACAACTACGCGGCCCCGTCAGGCGCTCTGCAACAGACGAAGAGGGAAAGGATAGAGTGGAAGGGGTGGTGAAGCAAATGACAACGTCATAGGTGAACAAGAAAACAAACAGGTGGCCGGAATTGGGGTGGACACTTTGTCAGAACAATGATAACATGGAGATTGGTAACAGCCAGGGAGAGCATTCGAAATGAGCCTTCCACTTTGTTACATCTGTAGGATTACCAATCAAGAGTTCAACAGGAGGTAGTTAATAATGGTTGGAGTTTGTTTGCCGTACTTCAGATTTAAAAAGAACCAAGAGGGCTACCTAATCGCCTGAACAGAGCACCATTAGACTATCTAAAGAGGCAAAGGGTGTGAAATCACATCGGTATGAGATTATCAACTTGGAAATGACTTGGCTGCGCTACGGACCCGAAATACAACTACGGCAGTGAATACTGGCAAGCTAAAAATAGCTTTTGTATTTGCGAAGCAAAGTATCATAAGGAAGCGAACAACACAACACAGACAGGTCTAGGCAGGAGAGAAAGGCACTAACTGGTCAGTAATGCGATGACAAACCAAACCTATTAGTTAATGAAGGCAAAAGGTAAAGGTTTAGCATCAACCAGTGAGCAGAATCCAAAATAAATTGCAAATCTTGAGCGATTTACTTCACAATACTTGACCTTTACCAAAACACGAAACCTTGTGCCTTTTGACACTTGGGCATTTGATCAAGTCGTCTTTTCGACAAAAAAGAACGGGCAACATAGCAAACAATTAACTTTCTACGAAACGCGGATTACAAAACACATGCACGCCTACTGAAGGGGTTCTTGGGCACGACCTTTCTAGCTAAATGGCGAGAAGTGAGCAAACGAACGACAGCAATGATGCATATATGTAAGGCGCTTGAGAAGGGATTGAATGACGCAGGTCGACATACCTCGTGGTGTAGATGTGGATGTGGGAGCGAGTCTGGTGACGCCTGTCGTCACCGCTACCCCCTTTGTTTCCAGAGCGGATGGATGTTGAAAGCAGGCTAAGCGGGTGAGACAAAGAGAGAGGTAATGACTGAGCTCAAGGCACCCTTTTTGTCTGCCTTCAAAACTACCACTTTCTTCGTCCTATTTCTTACGTAGGGGATGTTGTTACCCCAACCTACTTCGTATAGTTAATTCCAGAAAGAACGAGTCAGCCCAGATCCCCGACTTGACATTGCTGAAACATCAACGCATTTTGCTTGTAAATTAAAAGTTTAGACTTTAGTAAGAAATTTTTTACGTTACAGCTTAAAAAAGCTAGAAATTGCTGACCAAAGAGGAAGATGGTTAAATGGATTGGGCTAAAGCTTGAACAAGCCATCTAATGCGCAAAAGTTAAGCTATTTTGAAACCGGAGACTGTTTGTCTGCTCTACATCCATTTAGTTTACTTTGACGCAGAGAAAATACCGAACACTTTCCTTCACATTCCACCTACAGTTTACAACTTCAAAGTTAGAATAATTGGCAAAATTCCAATGCAACACATCTTCTACACCGATCAAAAGAAACCTTTCTTAAAATAAGACGAAGAACCACCTTATCCTGTTCTGAACCTATTATATTCATTAAGACTACTCAAACGCACATCACATCGCATTACTAAACGTCTCGAGACGTCACTTACCCAACATGGCGTCCCTCAATATCCAAGTCTAGTCCAGCTTAACGAAAGAATCCCCAAGCTAACTTTGAAATCGGCTGAATGATGGGAAATCTCATGTGTCACACAAAAGCACTTTGTGATTTTTTACTCTATAGGAAAGAAACTAATGATCAAAACACTCTTCAGCTTAAAAAGATTGCTTGGGGGAGTTCCGGATTACTATACTTTATCATGACTGCCCCATTGTGTTCCATTTTACCACTTTTATGAATTGGCTAAGTACGAAAATAAACCACCTAGGATTTCCCCTAACTGGTTTGCTTACTTATCTGCGAAAGAAAATCATTAGGTGCAGCTCTAAATTTACTTTGTTCAGGGACACTGCAGACAGGCATCACCCAAAAGATCCTCGATGTGCTTCCGATCGATCACTCTTGCAATAAACAAGCACAACTAAGTTAACCTCCCTTTAAATAAAGTGTCTAATCCTGTTTCACATTTATACACCAACATAAAAACTTTCCATAAATTTACCTCTTTTGGGTATGAAAGCTTTCTGCGAAGGTGGACTCGCGATGCCCTCCTCCAGGTAGCCATCGCCCCCACCCATGTCAAGAAAGAAAATTGGCACAACGCGAGCCCAATAGCTCTTGCCGGGTGCAGCATCTAAGACGTCCACACTGTACAACCCGTTCACCGCCTGTTCTCTAGACACTGTTTGTAACTCTGTAAAGTTTGTTGATGTATCTGTGCGCAGTTCAATTCTAAACGTCGACAATTAAGGAACTTTGTCATTCACTAACCGGTATTTCTGAACATCAGAAACGCCGCTATCGACAGAATTGTTGAATGCTGACCAGGAAATTGTAAGTGAAGTGCAAGTGACTTTCAGATTCGGTGCAGTAGTTAATTTTGAACGAACTAAATGAATAAGAAAGTGAGAAAAAGGGAAGGAAAACTTACTTATTTGACAACCTGGACCACTACGATTTGGCGTACAGTGATTGGGAGGTATGCAGTTCCCGTTGATAGGAGAACATCGATTTTCTGGAGTACAGCTGCATTTATGCTCACAGCCCAAGCCGAATTTGCCCGATTCACATTCTGATGAATGATAAAGGGCATTGTACAATTAGGATGCAAGTAAGATATACAAATCCAAGCAATTTACGAGTTTGACAAGCAGGAAAGCCAATGTAGCCAGGACTGCAAGAACCTGTGATGCACCCCAGACTATTGACAGTGTTTTGGCAGCTGTTGTCCAAGCAACGACAAGGAAAAGAGCACCTTTCACCAAAAAACCCCGGTGAACACAGTTCTACAAAAGAGCCTTACATATTAAAAGCAGATATAATAGGCTAGCACAAAGGAACAAAGAGAAATTAGAATTAGAGGGCATCCTAGACGAACATAGGAATTTGTATTTTAGTAAACAGGAATTAGGGCTATTCTGGTAGAATACTCCAAATAAGACATGTGGACCAAAAGATTTCAAAGAGAAACACTTGTAATAACATCTAAAACTTATGAAACAGTTATGTGGTAGATTAGATCATATGCTGCTATTCCAAGTTAGGTTTTCTGAAACAAGAATCCAATAATTTTTAGATTGTGATTTAGTGCGAAAAAACAAAAGCAGTCGAAACCTTCTTTAGACGAACAAGATGACTAATTTTGTTAGCGAAGCTGTTAGTGTACATATGTCTGTCGCAAATCTGTTCACAAGATTCCAAAGTTCATAGTTCAACACTATACTTTGCGTGAACTGGGCATCATAATTAGGACATCAGCGCCATACCTGGAGAGGCAGAAGAAAAAGAAGTCAGGAGAAAAATCCACAGGAAACCCGCCTTCATATTCTCTATAGGTACATAGGAAAACATGGAACTTTAAAACTCGAGAATTCGAAATTGCGAAAACAGAGAGGTGAATACTATTGGCCCAAATTTGCAAGCATAACCTTATAAACACACTTTGGCAAAGTCAAACACTTTGTCTTATTTAGCAACCCCGTCCTCTACTTCTCCCAGTAATTTGGATGCGCCTAAGATGTACCATCAAGTGGTCAAAAAGGTATTTTGATCTATAAGCTCATTTATGTTGCCTTCAATTTATAGGATGACTAAAGTAAAATAAAATCAAACTTACCAAATACTATCTGCTACAAAGCTGAATATTTAGCTTAAGTTCATAAGAATAACCGCATTCAAACTTTACTAATGCCTACAAGTTAGTGGATGGATTAAGCTCCAGTGATCAGAATTTAATTTCGAAATGTGGGTGTTTTGATGAGGCATGTCTTATTCCGCGTGTACTACTTTGTGTGCTGTTGCCTATTCTTACCCGCTTTACACTCCCACTTATACTGCTTTCCGGAATCGTCCATCTGATCAATTCTTTTTGCCTTCAGGAGACGAGATAGTCTATTCACCTAGAATTTAGCAAAACCCAGACGCTTAGCAAATACATTACTAGGAATAATCCTGATAGAATATATGGACCTGCTAGGATGTCCATAACCTTTACTCACTACCCACCACTTATCTAGCGGTGAACAGCGTTAGGCCTTCCTCGGAAGCTATTGCTGCTGCGAACGCGGTTTCAGGGGGAAGGGGTCAGTAGCGAACGCTTGCTACAGCTACAGCCATCGAGAGCCAGCAGATTGCGGGTGAGGTGCTCTACCAACCACTTAGTACTACTTTATTAGTAATCAACTGATGTACGAAAACATTTATTTGAGTCCACAAGGAATGTAGACTGACCCAGTGAGGGCATATTTATTAACAAACTTTAGCAGGGGGTTTAGTAAAATCTGTTATTTGAGCTCCCTTCTGCCTCGGGGAAATCTGACGCCGCCTTCATTACAAGATTAATGCTAATCAAACTCTTCTCGCCTAAACGGTATATTTAAACAATATATGTATATATTACAACAACGAATAAGACGGATTAGAGGAAGTTGTGTTCCATGATGCAAATTAATGGCTTAAGCAAAAGCCTAGTTGAACTCAAGAAAATTGAACCAAAAGTTTTGGGCTTACATCCAAGCACAGAGTTTCATTTCTATGGGTTTCAGTGGGAATTTACATTTGTACATGCTCGAAAAAAGCACAGCTGCCAAAGAAATTGTTCACCGAGGGGTTCCAGTGGGCCCGTTATTGTTAACAAGCTGTAATACATGTTATTTTAAATAACCTTTCAAAAGCAAAGCGTTTTGACACCACAAATCCCATGACGGGGTGGTCATCATTTGACTCCGAGGAAAAAGTGAACCTTGTACGGGCTGAACCCTGATCACTGGACCCCATTCACCATATTACCAACGAAGAATGCCACTGCATGGTCACTTCACTCGCTCCAAGGGAATGGAGGTCCAAGGTGAAGAGGGAAACACCAAACTTATTATTGCTGGCGATAGGGTCGGCAAATCTCCTTGCAATGAAGAGGCGTCCGGAGTTACTTACGGTCCTTCGCTACAACAACTGCAACAGATAGCCGAACCCAAAACCCTCATCATGAGGCCATCCGTGTCTTAACCCAAATTAAGTAGTCCTTCCTTTTCTCTATTTCCTTTGCTCCTAAACAGCTCACATTGATTCGTACGAACCTCTGGCGTGACTAGATCATTAGTAAACCCTAAGGCCTTCTTAATCCTGCGTGACAAGATTAGGATCACCTCATCATCACTCACAGTACTTTCAGCAGAAGGAAAGGTGGCAGTAAAACAAAGACCTCTCTAAGAGTGAGCGTAGGTAGGAATACTTGGAAAGTGAAAAATGGTATGGGCAGAACTGCCTGAAAATGTGATTCTTGGCGTGGATTTTCCGCGCAATACCAAAGCTATCTTATATTTTGTGATAGGCACCCTCTCCACCCATTAAGACACTGAAGCATCAATAACCCTTTCGTTAGAGATAGAGAAAGTTGATGACGACATTTGCAATACCCTATGCTAAGCTGCAGCTCTACCCAAGAACAGACCTACTATCTCACAAACAAGGCGAGTTAAGAACTTCGTAGGCTACTGGTGAAGTTTGTATGTATGTTCACATGACAAGGTGGTAGGAAACTGGAAGAACGAGGATAGTGAAGCACATGAGACACCGGGAACGCTAGATCGATCCGACGGTCATTCAGACCCACACCACTCCTTCTGCTGGAGAAAGTAAACCATCTGGTGGCAGAGATGATAAGAGATGAGATAGTCAATCGTCAAAAAAGTCACCATGGACCTCACTAATTGCTATGGTAAGAAAAGGGACAGAAGTATGCAGCTGTGCTTCGACCACAGGAATCTGAATGTAATAGCAAGGAAGGATGCCTTCTGGCCACTCTACACTAACGAATCATTAAACTTCTTACACCGGTCAAAGTGGTTCTCTACCCTAGGCCTAACAAACAAGATAATGGCAAGTAGAAACAGGCCGAAGGAACAGAGAGAAGACAGTTTTTTGATTGCTGAACGGCCTCTATAAGTTACGGACAATGCCTTTCAAGATCTGTAATGCAGCGGTCACTTTCCGACGTCTTATACAAACTTTACTAATGGGATTATTCCGGAAACGTAATATAATGTACCTACATGACGTTCTTGTCTTCGACAGAGACATTGGGGAGCCTAACACCAAACCAAGATTAGTGTTGGAGAGTCTACGAGATACAGGTTTGACCCTAAACCCAAGGCGATGCCGATTTCCGCAATGCTCGGACAACTTCTTAGGACACACTATAATTGTCTCGTCAGATTTGATGGTGGTTGCCGAGGTCAGTACAAAGTAAGTGAGGACCTGGACAATGAAAACCAGTCAGGTGGAGTTGCATAGTTTCTTAGACTTAGCAAGTTACTGCAGGTGTTTTACCAAAGGTTTTGCTAAGACCGCAAGCCCACTGCATCAACTGATCAAAAAGTAGTCGAATGGGTAAATCAGCCTGGAGAAAGAGCAAAATGAAGCATTTAAAGAAGTGAAGCGAATGCTCTATTCCGCGCTGATTCCAGCATTGCTAAACTGCGAATTAAGCGCCTCATTATTGGTACTGAATACTGTGGCTAACAATGCAGCTGTGGGCGGTGTGCTTGCTCACAAGGTCAAGGAAGGAGAGGAACACGTCACAGCCTACGCAAGTACCAAACTCAGCCTAATGTAACAGAAAAGTGCAACATGACGTAAACAGTTCGCTATATTCACAGTAGTTGGGCATTACAGACAAGGTGAGACCTCCTCATATCTTCTTCTAACGCAAAATTAACTCTAGGGGAGAATTTTCACTTTAGCGGAAGTGGAAAGGCGATGCCGCCCCGCCTCATTCTTGACCTCATCCTCCATATTCTCCTGATTCTACCCTTTTTCTCTACATTACCATTTGACTATCACTTGTGAAAAAGTATGGGTACTTGATGGATAAAAGTGGGAGTACTTGTAGTACTTTAACTGTATGTTTGCATCTTGTTTCTGGTGTTTGGTCACATGGGGACTCCACCATTGTATCCCCACTGGGCGTCCTGGCCTTCGGGCTGTGTCAGTGGCCGCCAGACCCTACCGTACATAGGTAATACGTGTTATGTTCGACTGTTGTCTTCTTACGTCCTTAGGGAAATTCTGGCGGTGCTACAGTAGCACTATGAATTGACGCCGTACGTTCTATCCTCTCTGAAACGAAGGCACAAATAGCATGTGTAAGAATGAATGTGAAGTCTGAATTATAGAGCACTTCGTTTGCATTAAAAGGGGGAATTTTATCGTCTAAGTTTGGGATTCACGAAGACAATTAATAATAATCGGAAGAAACTAAGTTCGGAATTCATCCGTTCCTTCATACCTTACAGTTGGATATGTCTGTTTTATGCTCTTAATCGCCTTATAGATTTAAGAATGTAAAAACGGGATCAAGGTGAAGATCAGATCGACAACTTACTGTTGTAGGCCAGCGCATGCTCCAGGTACCATGCGGCCACCTCAAAATTCAGGAAGAAGAAGAAAAAGATAGGTTTTTAAGGATTTTTTCATCGGTTGTTAGCGCATCCAGCGGGTGTTGTCATGACCTTTCGGGGTAGCAGAAAGCATAAGTTTATAACTCATAGTAGACAGATAAAGGCAAATCTTTATAAATTTATTGACTCAGGACTCATTTTAGTAACACATTACGGCGAATGATCGAAAACAAGTAAAAAATTTTCATTGAACTGCAATGCGTGTTTGTTTGAGTGCATCTTTTAGGCGACAAGCGGTCGGTTTACGCCTTTAACCCCTGAGAAGGAAACTAATGCCGGTTCCCTCCAGGCCTTGACAACCTGTCGGCACTCACATTACTGCTCAAATAAAGGGTGACATCCTCTGTACACGCCTCCCATTAAAAGGTTACAAAACCAGACGTAGAGGTACACATTCTACAGCTATTGAAGGTATCCGCTCTGCCATGTAGTTAACGTAACCTGACAGCTTCTCTCCTAATTTATATGTTGTTGGCTTCTTCGGTTTTGTAAGCACTGGTGAATGTGCATCTGTTCATTTATTGGATGCTTACGGTGGGTCACAATGGGCCATTTACCCGGCCATCAATCATTTGGTAGGCCCCGTAGATGAAAACGGAATCCACATCACCTGCCGTTTCAAAGCCATGAGTGATCTGCTGGAGGGAGAATACTGCAGGCGGTAACTGCCATTTTATTAGAAACTAGAGAAAATTGGAGAAGACTATGGATTACTGCGAGTTGTCGTGAATAGTGGTAGCTGCTGCGGTTTTCAGTAGAAGCATAAGATTGATAAGAACCTAACTGGTGATGAGATGTAAGTAGGATTTAACCTAACATGCCCTTAAGTATCGTCGAGCACTTCGAAGTGAGTCGTCATCAATCCCCAGTCTATTCAATTCGTCGAGGGCTGGGATTCGGTTGCGACGAAGAGGAGTTAATTCTATCCGATTTGAGAATAGCAAATGATCTTCATCCTCATTTGCTTTGAAACTAGATCATTTGTGGTCGCTTTCTACTTAGTATACACGTTTTTCCCCACCATTCTCTTTTGGTGGAGTTTACTCCTCCGGATTATATAAACAATGAAATCGCCTTTTTCTAGGATTCTAAGCCCGAGGTTGAAGGGAAGTATCACGTTAAAACAGCCAGTAAAGATGGTGCCTTCAGGGGGGCTCCTTAAAGAAACCCCCAAATCAACTTTATTGGAGACCTCAGAATCACAGTCTACCACTAAACTGGTTAAAACTTTGTAATAGCAACAATGCCGACGACAGGAAACACCGAAGAAGCTTATCCGCCGATTTTGAGGGGGAACTGGGGTCCCAGCTCAAAAAATTAGGAGGCTGATGCTTTGCTGAATAGTCCTACTAAATCGTTTGTAGTGGCGCCATCTGAGACTGCAGAGGAACTCGTAAGTCAAAGCCCCGTAGGCCACTGTGATTGTAAGGTAGTGGTATGATTACTATCTGATTTGAGCAGGAAAATCTTGTTTTGACTAGGGCATACATTTTTTCGGTGCGGAGTATCCTTTTGACTGGACCTTCTCCGAATCAAAAATCTCGCGCCTATTGAAAAAGAGTTTTCATGCAATTATTATGGAGTTCAAGTGGTGGGTATCTTTCACTGCTCCTAGTAGACTGTTCTTCTTGTTTCGCTAATATATTCGTTCATCCAAGTCTCCAGATGACTGTTATCTCCTTACTTATAGCTTCAACATTATCTTCCGACTGTTTGACTTCCTATTAGCTCTGACGAGTTACAGCAAAAAGTTCATTGTCGACACGGCTCCGCTGACCACATCCACATGCGTCCCAACTGTATTGAAGTTACTTCACCAATCTCTTTTGCAAAAAGTCTCTTGTGCTACGAGTACCCGGACGTGAACTCGTGAACAATTAATGCTGGTTCCTGTACATGCGATCTGACGATCCTTCTACCTGCTGGTAAGATGCGTGGTCGCACCACTTCCTTTGAATATGCTCCCACTTCATTTGTTGTGCGCTCCTTTAGTTATGTAAGCACTGGTAGAGGAATGCCAGTTCGTCTGTGAAACGCTCACGATGGGCCACAACGAGCCGAATTTGGCAAATATTCTTTTATCCTGCATGTCCCAGTGCTTGCATTTTGAATCGATGCTGGAGTCATTTTGCATTCAGACCTTCAGCGATTTGCGTTGAAGGTGTGGTACCCATTTTGCTCTGGATTTTAGTGGTGTGTTATGGTGACAGCAAATACGGCTAGGTAGCTTACGTTTCCTGGATTTCTATTGACTAGTGTGATGTAATAAAGTGTGGTTTTTGATATACGAATCAAATAAGTGCGGCATGTCTATCAGCACATTTGTCGAAATGCTTTTCAAAAGCTCCAATCCTCACCTTCGGCTCCGGTTTCTAGGACAAAATGACCTGCCCTCTTACATTCGAACTGTCCTTCTCACATGTGATAGTATAATGCCGAGGAGAGTTGGCAATCACTTGGAGAACTATGAGGGGAATACAGAGGATGAGGCGGTCTCCCCCTCATCCCAAAATGCGGTATGGGATCTTCTCGCAGGTCAATTTTACGGCCTAAATTTTTGTTAGAATGGAATTTTCTCTCGGTTGGTTGACTTTTCTGGATGTTCCCCAAGAAGCCTTCTTACACTGCCTAGAGATGTCATTTAGAATAATTGTTGTTTGGCTCCCAACGGCGAATTCGTAGCTCGTTCTTTGTGGGCTTATATAGCGATCCAAATAACTAAGATTGTGGATATTGTTCAGTTATTGAAGCAGTTCATCGTTGGAAAAGGTGGCGAGTCGACATTCCCACAGCGCACTGAGAAGTCCTGCGAAAGGCGAGAAATGGGCAAGCTCTCAGTGCCAAACTTCGTAGTCCTGTGCTGATTACTAAACGATTGCAGCATACGTCTGCGGTTCATATCAATTCGGGGACAAGAAGGCAGGTGTCGATGTACTCATGAAATCACCGTTCCTAGGTTCGCTGCTTTTGTCGATGAGGATTCCATCACTTTCCACGAGAGATTGTTTAATATATTACTTATTTTACGTGCTGTTCGGTATTTCAAGTAATGAGATTAGTAGAGCATTTTTAAGAGACTATCTACATCTAGTAGGGAATTCGAATTTGAAGTAAAATCTTTTCTCTAGGCATGTCT